ATGTATGCTAAAAACATTTTTAGCTCACTCAATGAGCTCACTTAATAATAAACTTAATGAGTTTTGATATCGTACATTCTTTTTACGATTATATCTTACATTAAACGAATTTAATAACCCGATAGTACGCACAAGAATATTTGTTAAAACTATATATATATATATATATATATATATATATATATATATATATATATATATATATATATAGGGCGAGATGCGTATTAGAATTGGAAAAAATACAAAGATTAATTATAGAGTTAATCATCTTCCTAAAATTTTGTTATCAAGAAACTGAATCTTGAAAATTAGATAATGATAATTTTTCTCTATTAATTCTATTAATTCTATTAATTCTATTAACTCTATTAATTCTATTAATTCTTCCACTATTACTTAAGGAATTTTTTTCGTTTCTTATTCATTATAATTTCGATTATAATGAAATTATACTTACAATTAGATTAAATTAAATTTAATTTTTAGAAAAGCATGATTAACAAATAGTATAAAACAAATGTTTTTATAATTGGCTTTGATTTCTTGATTAACGAGAAATGTTTCTTGTAACAAGTGAATAACGCAAATAAAGAAAACAGTAACATAGTAAGTGATATAAGAGCTATAATGGGTAATTAGCATTTAGTTACTCTAACTAGTTGTAAAAATGTATATCGTCGGAATTATTAAATAGATTATACGTAACATATGTCTTACATATTTTATCCTTTTTATTGTTTTGGATTATATAACGTGCATATTGAGATACAAAAAAATAATTCCTAATTATCCATAATTATTTATAATAACACAAAAAGTATTAGAAACAGTTGTCTGCTTTTGCAATTAGTAATTATCAATTGTAATAATTGATTTATTCGTTTTTTGCGTCTATGTTGGAGCTAATTTTCTGGCCGGAAGTTAAAAAATTACGGTATTTCCATTTCAAAACTTGAGGAAAAGACTGCATAGGATTCCCACAGTTATATTCCAGGATATTCAAGATAGTCAACGATATTCGACAATTGCTTCTTCAATATCAGCAAAGATGATCGCTTATAATCGATGTGAAAAACTGATGTTCGACACTTTATTGTCCTGTTTATACAGTATGAAGTAATAAATTCATATTCATCGATCATATTTCTAATCACACGTTAATCGCTAATCGTACATCGCATATTATTTGCATATTATATTCGATAAAATATTTTTCTCTAGCTCGAAAACTAAAGAAAAGTTTAGTTTCAAGATAATTATTTTTTTATCTGTATTCATCTTGACCTCTTTTGATCTGGAAGAAACAACATACGTAATGACATATAAATCTATAGATTTATAGTCATATATCATAGTTCTATGGTCAAAATATGAAATATTCCGATTGATTATGTACACATTATTTTTGTACAAGAATAACTTGATTATATCAAGAATATTGTCTTTCTGTTTAGATAGAGAAATAAATGATTTATGAGATTACAGACTTTTAAAAAATTATTCTCCGCGTGCATTTATCTTTAATATCATTATTTTCTTATCACATTTTCATTATTTGGAAATAAAGTCGCGCCAAGTGAAGTATAGAGATTAGGTCAATGTAAATGTTAATATATAGCGGAGGTTATCGAATAGATATTAAGATTTATTTGATACAAATACGAATGACGACTTTCAGATTGAGAAAAATAATCATGTGCGATTAGTTCACTAAGAAATATTTTTTCACGTATGTGTTGTTTACTTTGTGTGTGTGCCAAGTATGCAAATTATAAATTATTGCAAATAATTTATAAATTACTTGCAATAATTTATAATTTGCATACTTGGCACACACAAATTGTAAATTAAAAAACACCAATGACGAAAGAGCAACAAACTATCGCTTGACTTTTTTAATAATACGTGTTACTTTTCTAAGTAAATTATTACTTTTAAATCAATTAAGATTTGTTATTTTCCATTTGATTTAATTTCAATAATATAATCAAATTTTTGGAAATATGATTCACAAAATTTTTAAAAAATAGTAATTTAAAAATCTAGCTTTTTTATCTTGTTAGTTATTCTGGCAATGATATTTACTTAAAGTAAAATTAATTAATTATTGATTTTACATTATAAATCTACCAAGATAACATTTCATACTTGTATAATCGAATCTTAACTCTGAGAAATCTGCGGTTGTAATAGATTGGAATAATTTTGCAACATAAATGAGAGAAGCATTTTATCTCTCATGGACAGAAAAAATATATACTTTACAGTTAATCTTCTTCATATCTTAATTTATGTTTTCTTAATATGCACTTCATAGAACATGTGCATTTCATAGAAACATATATATGCATTGTACGCAATTATTTGAGATCTAAATAAACTGTACAATTCATGTACGTTTTATCATTTATTATATATATTTCGATTAATAATCGAATGACGATACGTAAAGAATGTTTTAAGAATTTTTATGATATTTTTACCTCCTATACATAATATGGTATTTATAGAAAATTATTATATGTTACACCTCGGCTTATATGTTATGTACATGATATAATATGTAATCTTTATTATATAGATGTATATACAGAGTGTGACGGCAATCTCTTCCCAAAAAATGCTCTCGTGTTTTCTTTACACCAATTGATTCCTCTCATTATTTTGTATAAAAGTATTAAGGTAAGATAATCGAAAAATGAATATTTTACTAGATATTTTATAGTTTATGCAAAAATTAAGAAATTATTTCAAGCCTCATAACTCGAAAAGTACTCGATAAAAAAAAATACTTTATTATAATGTTTTGAAAAGCTCTCGAGGTAAGCTATAAGAGTTTTTTTCTGAGAAGAGATTACCCTAACATCCTGTATATATACGTGTATATATATGTATATGTATAGCGAGAGAGAGAGAAAGAGAGAGAGAAAGAGAAGCAGGAAAATGGACTAACTTAAAGGGATAACTTTTTTGAAAAGAAAATGTTAAATATAAAAATTTTAGGGTTTAGAAATAGGCATCTGGTGATAAACTTAAACTTGATCTAGGGGTCAAGTTTAGAAATTCATTTGATTTTTTTAAATGGAAATCCCATTTTCTATTGCATATTCTTGTAACTTAAGAAAAAAATATGTAATTTGTAATTAAAAGTTACATATCAGTAGTTACATTTTTTTCTTAAAAACAACTATGTGTTCTTTACACTAATTGATTCCTCTCATTATTTTATACATAAAAGTATTGAGGTCAGATTATCGAAAAATAAATATTTTACGAAATATTTTATAGTTTATATAAAATATTTATTATAGTTTATATAAAATTAAGAAATTATTTCAAGTTTCATAATTCGGAAGGTAATAGAAATACTTTATTATAGTATTTTGAAATGCTTTTGAGATAAGCTATGCAAGAATATACAATGAAAAATAAAATTTATATATATATATATATATATATATATATACAATAATTTTGTTTATTGCTTATATCTTATAAAACCATTTTTTTAATGGTTTAATACAAACGCAACTTTTATTAATTTGATTTTAATATTCTATAAAAATAATAAATCATTTATATATCAATTATATATCAATTATTTTACATATTTTATTAGTTTATCTTATTTTAATGTATAATAGAGTTTTAATATACATACTAATCTGCAGAGATATATTGATAAAGTAACTTTCCACGTATGAAATATTGTTTGATGTGTATATACATTCTAATAAAATTACATTCTGATAAAATGAATAATTATGTATTATTAGCGATTATATAACATAGGTAATAAATGATATAAAATATAAGGAATATCAGAGGTATTAAAAAATCTTACTTAGATCTTTTTTTTAATTTCATATTTTTGAATTTAATTAAATAATAAAATAATTTAATAAATTTTGAACATAAATAAAATTTTGAATTAAAAACAATAGTATGTGTGTGGATTTTATATTTCAATATAAATTTTTTTTTCTTTTTACGTTATATCTTCTTCATGCAGAATATTTTGTAAAAATAGGAAGAGCATTCTGACAAAATAAATGATTATATATTATTAGCGATTATAACATAGGTGATAAATCTTTAAAATGACATTGAAGTTCACTGAGAGAAATCTGCGGGATGCTGCAAATAGCCTTTATAAAATGTTTTGCATTAGCGGCTGTGTCATTTCCAGAGATTGTTTGACAACTTATCATTAAATCATTGACAATGTCAATGACCAATTCTATTGAACGACCCTTTCTTATATTATTTTTTACGTTTGAGTATTATTCAATTCATGAGTTATTGATCGTATATACTTATTATATTTTTATATAAATAACTAATATTGATATAATTGATAACATATTGTGTTTATAATAATAACGAGACGTATAGTAACAATGTAATGATAATCACAAGAGAAAGTTTCTTTGTCTATACGACTCTGTTTATACCTGTCGATACATCATATGATTAAATCTCTTGTTTCAATAACTGTCTATATTGTCTGGCCTTCGTAAACATCGTTTGAATCGTATAATAGTACTCCTTTACTATAAATAACTTTATCAAAGTGAAAAATTTCTTTGTTTCTCATATTTCTCTGAAAAGAAGCATAATCCATGCGATATTAAAATTATTGCTTTAACATAAATCATTCTCAGGAAATTTTATTTGAACTTGATATTCTCTTTTTTCTAACATTCTTAATTCATTCTTGAATTAAGAATGTTATTAATTTATTCTTGAAGCAACGAGAGAGACTTTCTTTTTAAGAATGGTTTTTAAAACAAATTTGTTTTACATTTTCTTATGTAACAGCAGAAAAACCAATTTGATTGCAAGCTAGATAAGAGTGAGAAGATGCGATGACAGACGTGAATTCCCATTCAGGATAGATATATTCATCGCCGATTACCTTAACCTTGGCTACGCATCTGACGCATTTCTTGCTCCTGTTGTTTCTCAATCCGATATACGTTTAGCGAAAGAGCCGGTGTTTTAGGAAGGAACGAATGGTCAAAGTGGGAGATAAGATATAAAGACTTGGTAATTTCAACCGATCGGAATAGAAGCGAATATCATCATGTGGCAGCATCGGACGATCGGCCTTTTGGCCTTACTACTGCTTGCAGCATGTATTCAAGCACGAGGTAAATTATTTTCAATCGAATTTGTATCAATGTCTCATCACGATCATTAACAGTTTCAATTTTTTTTATCAAAATTTTATTTTTATCATCATTTTTATTATAGAGACAAAAGAATCTCGAGAAAGAGAGAGAGTCCTAAGACAGTAAAATAATTCCGTCTCATTAAAAAAAACCTTTATTTAAAAAAATGATATTCTCAGTCTCTAAGATTATATGTGCAAGATGACAATTCTTGTTTTTAAGATTTTAAACTATTAATAAGACGATGATAATTTTTTCGTGATATAACGGCATCTTCTTTTTTGCAACTTTGCGATCGTTTCTTGTTTTCGAAGAAGACTCACTATGAAAATACGAAACAGTTATATAAAATAATTCAATTCTTCCTCGATCTATAAAGAAACGATAATGAATCTTAAATACGGAAATTAGTTGCAACTATGTACATAATTGATGTACTTGAACTCTGACCTAAGATAATCGATTATTTTGCTTAATGCATATACAATTTCTTGTAAACATTAAGCAATCTTGCACTTGCTCTGTAATAAAAGTGAGGAAATAGAGAAATTCATATAAATCTCATCAGAGATCTATGATGATTTTATACGATCTCATATGATGTCAACATGATTAAAATTACTTTTTCAATTATTTATATTAACGTTGAGGATATAAAAAGTGATTCTCTCGATTTATTACAGAAATCGAATTACTGCGTTCAAAGCGGTACAGTGGAGGAGGAGGATACTCCTCCAGTAGTGCCAGTAGTTCTGCCAGCGCAAGTTCGTATGGCGGTGGTAGCAGTTTCTCCAAATCCGATGCTCAAGCTGTCGGCAGTGCCTCAGCAGGTGCTCAGTCCTCAGCATTGTCAGGTGCACATGGAGGCAGCGGTGGTCTAGGAGGTGGCAGTGGACATGGAGGTGGCGGTGGACATGGAGGTGGCGGTGGTCTAGGAAGTGGCAGCGGTCTAGGAGGTGGCGGCGGTCTAGGAGGTGGCAGCGGTCTAGGAGGTGGCGGTGGTTTAGGAGGCGGCCATGGCGGTTATGGAGGTAGTCACGGCGGTTATGGAGGTCAAGGTGGATACGGAGGCGGAAGTAGTGGTGGTTTAGGAGGCGGCAGTGGTCTAGGAGGTGGCGGTGGTCTAGGAGGTGGCAGTGGTGGTTTAGGAGGCGGTCACGGCGGTTATGGAGGTCAAGGTGGATACGGAGGCGGAAGTAGTGGTGGATTCGGAGGCGCCGGTGCAGGTGCAGGTGCTGGTAGCGGTGGATACGGCAGTGATGGATTTGGTAACTTCATCTTCATGAATTTAATGTTGCAATTAAAAGAAATCTTTCAACAAACATGTATCTATTATATTATACTTTTTTGTTTTTTTATATTTATCATTTTTCTGTTGATACAAAGTTATTTATAATATTAATCTTTGTCAATTGTGAATAATTAATTATATGATGCATAATTTTATATCTCATGATACCTCTTCAAATATCTTATTTAAAAAATAATTACTTATAACTACTTTTTTAATATATATAATATATTGTGTAAATGTTTTTAGGACCCGGAGGTGGTGGAGGCTTTGGTGGAGGTAAGTCTAAAACAAAAAGGTTTGCATATAGAAAATCTTACATAAAAAGAAAAAAAAAAATATATATATATATATATAATTTGATATCTAACACAAGTTTCATATTTTAATAAGATTGAATACAGTATATTGTAAAAAATATTAGGCTAAAAAATTTACGGCTAGAAATAACTTGAAAACAAATATAAATATAATCTAAACGATATAAACTTAATTAGTTAAAATTTAGTTAATTTTTTCATATAAAACATAAAAAAAAAATAAAAATATAGAACATATTAATGTATATGCTATATAGAAAAGAATTTCATAAACTATGTACATATTTAGTTCTTCATGATGTATTTCTAAATATTTTATTTAAAAAATAATTTATGTAACTAATTATTTATTTAATACACAATATATATTAGGTAAATATTTTCAGGATCCGGTGGCAGCGGAGGCTACGGTGGTGGTAAGTTTAAAACAAAAAAGTTTGCATTTAGTATGAAATCTTACATAGAAAAAAATATATATAATAATAAATTAGTTTTTTTTACTTTTAATAATAATGATAATAACTTGATATCTAAATTAAGTTTCGTAAATTCACTTTAATAAGATTGAATACAATATTGCAAAAAATATTACACTAAATGATTTTTTAGCCTAGAAATAACATAGAAAAAATACAAATATAATTGATTAAACAATATAAGCTTAATCAATTAGAATTTATTAATGCTTTCATGAAATATAGACATAATAATGTATATGCTACATAAAAAAATAATTCTTTAAACTATATACATTTTTAGTTTCTAATAATACTTCTCTAAATATTTTACTTAAAAAGTAGATAATATAATTAATTATTCAATATATAATATATTATGTAAATGTTTTTAGGATCAGGAGGTAGTGGTGGCTACGGTGGTGGTAAGTCTAAAACAAAAAATTTGCATTTGGAATAAACTCTTATGTAGAAAAAAAAAAAAAAAAAAAAAAATATATATATATATATATATATATATATATGTATGTGTGTGTGTATATGTATATGTATATATATATGACAAGAATTTAGTAATAATAATTGCAGTTTAATTTTTTTTATCTGATCTAAATTTTAAAATTCAATCTAAATTAATTTTAAAAAATTCAATATAATAATGCAAATAATATTACGCCGAAAAATTTACGCAGAAATAACAAAGAAATAAATATAAATATAACCGATGGAAGACAAGCTTTATTAGAATGTATTAAATCTTCTCACATCTTAGTACTTTCTCATATCTTAGCAAACACAAAATAACATAATATCACTGTTATAATTTCCCACTCAACAATATAACTGTTATGTGTAAAATCTATTACTTTGCAGTTATATTGCTGAATGGAAAATTATAACATTGACGTTAGATTACTATTATTTTGTGTTTACTAGGATGGAATAGATATACTAATTCATATGCTATATAGAAAAGGATCATTTCTTAAGCTATATACGCTTACTTTAAAAACGCTGCTTCTGTTCTTTTGTTATAATAATAATTTCTCATAACTTAAATAAAAATGTTTATATAACTTACTTTGATTAATATATATATATATATATATATATATATATATATATGAAATATATATATATGTATATATGAAATATGTAATATATATATAAATAATGCACTAAACTTTAGGAGCGTATTCTAGAGATCAAAGACTTTTTTTCTTATGAACATGGGTCCGCAAATAAACCCCTGAAAATTTGAAAATGTGTGAAATTGATCAAACACCCACAACGCAAATTTATTTATCTCTCAAGAGAGGGTGATAGGTAATGTCAAAACCTTTTTTTTTGAAATACAGTCAATTTTTAATTTTTTCCCCAAACTTTAGGGGTCTCTAGCTCGGAGGGGAGTTTATTTGCGGACTCATGTTTATAGGAAAAAAAAAGTCTTATTTTGACTTCTAGAATATTCTCCTAAAGTTTAGTGCATCATTTCAGATACACCTTGTATATTAGATATTATATATATATATATATATATATATATATATATATATATATAATCTGATAATATATTCTATAATAATAATATAATAATATATAATAATAATCTAATAATATATTTCAAATATAACGCTATTTCCATTTTAACATACAAATTCGATCAGCAATCTATAACTTTTAGGCAGTGATGGTGGAAGTGGAGTTGGTAAAGTTAGTGGAGGTGGTGGTAGTGGTGGTTATGGTGGAGGTACCTCCAGTGCCGGAAGCTATGGTGGAAGTAGCGGCGGAAGCGGCTCCTTAGGTCATGGTGGATCTGGAGGACAAGGTGGTGGTGGTTTTGGCGGCCCCTCAGGTCAGGGTGGTAGTGGTTATGGCAATGCTGGTTCTAGCGCAGGTAGTAGCGTTGGAAGTGCTGGTGGTTATGGTGGCAGCGGTTCAAGTGGTGGTGGTCGTAAGTGAATATATGTAATACTTTCTGCAATAATTTATTATAGAATCTATTTGATGAAATATTCTTGATTTTTATGTCTTGAATATACTTTTGTTATTTTAATGAGCTCCGTCCAATAATTTTAAAAATTTGATAACATTTTACTTTTTCACTTCTATATACATTTATAATATATCATAAATTTAATGAAAAATTAGCACATATTATTTTTGTGATAAGAATTAGGTGGACTTGGAGGTGATTCCGGTTTTGGGGGAGGATCTGGTAAATGGAGCGGCGGTGGCAAAGGTGGATATGGCGGAGCAGGAGGATTTGGCGGAGGTAATTTGAATGAAAAGAATCAAGAAATAAAGATTCAAAATTTAAAGAGAAAATTATTAGTTATTTAGAAAATAAATTTAATCATATTCCAGGTGGACATGGAGGAGGCTTAGGTGGCGGACAGGGAGGAGGCTTAGGTGGCGGACATGGAGGAGCAGGAGGATTTGGCGGAAGTTCAGGAGGTAGTTCGGGTGGTGGATATGGAGGAGGCTTAGGTGGCGGACAAGGAGGAGGCTTAGGTGGCGGACATGGAGGAGGCTTAGGTGGCGGACATGGAGGAGCAGGAGGATTTGGCGGAGGTTCAGGAGGTAGTTTGGGTGGTGGATATGGAGGAGGCTCAGGTGGATTAGGAAGTGGAGGTAATTTGAATGAAAAGAATTAAGGAATAAAGATTCAAAGTTTGAAGAGAAAATTATTAGTTATTTAGAAATTAAATTTAATCATGTTCCAGGTGGACACGGAGGAGGCTTAGGTGGCGGACATGGCGGAGCAGGAGGATTTGGCGGAGGTCTAGGAGGAAGTTCAGGTGGTGGAGGATATGGAGGAAGTTTAGGCGGAGGTAATTTTAATAAGAAGAATCAAGGAATAAAAATTCAAAGTTTGAAGAGAAAGTTATTAGTTATTTATAAATTTAATTTAATCATATTTCAGGTGGATGTGTTGATGGATGCGGCGGTGGTAGTGGCGCAGCAAATGCTAATGCTCAAGCTAGCGCTAGCGCAAATGCCGGTGCAGGTAGTGGAGGCCTTGGAGGTCATGGAGGTCACGGAGGTCACGGTCCGGGAGTGGAGTATGTATTGCCAAATATATAAATTAGAGATTAGATAAGAGATATTTTGATTGTTTTCGATGCCAATTGTCTATAACTTTTTCAATACTATTGATACTTCGACGTTTTTTAAAAAAATTATAAAAAAACAAGAGTTTAAAAAAAAACAATTTCCCAAATTCGTATCTTTCAGAAAATATGTTATTAACATCACGAATTGTACATATAAGATGCCTTGAATATTCTAAAAAGAATAATTATGATGATTTGGTATTATGTAACAGCATCAGAATTTTGCACGCGGTAAATTAATTCGCATAGAGTTTTTCCAACAGTGGAATAGATTTCAAGGTGAACAGGTTTCGAAAGAGAATGCTTCTGTAAGTCCCGTTCGTCATACAATCGATAACGTGCAAATTATACTTGTTTATGGAAATCAGCAAGACATGGTAATTTATTGAACAAATAAGTTTTGGATGAGTCATAAAGGAATAAAAATAAATCTAAGTAGCAACTACTATAGAATCGATTTTTTAACATTTTATACATTTCATAAAATTTTCCATTTTAAAAAGTTAATTTAATAACTTTGTTGACTTTTCTTATTTACATAAAACTGCAATACTGCTGGAATTATAAAAGAATTAAAAGTGAGTAAAAAAATACATCAGAAAAGGAGAAATAAATAATCTACCTGGAATGTAACATATATTCAAATAACACACCAAATGTTACCAATTTGTATAATTTATTAATAACAAGTATAATTATGTTTTTAGTTCTGACTTATCAAAACTTAATATTTATCCTCGAAACATTTTTTCAATAAGACAAACACTATTATAATAATATGATATTAGTATTTTAAAATTCGAAAAAATATATTAATGATATATAGATGATGAGTAGCCTAATTCTTTGATCGTTCGAATTATGCTTAAAATCGTATTTCTTGGTTTATAGTTTATTCTCTCGTATCGCTGACACCGATGAAGATACGAATAAGAGTGGCACTGTGGAAGGTGCCAAAGGTGTTTACAGCAGCAGTGCAGCTAACATAGATAGTAGTGGTAAAGGTACTTATTCTGTGAAAGCAGGTAAAATCCCGGCGTAATATCTGTGTTTAAAATTAAATATTACTTCGTTAAAAATTTTTCCAATGATCAGCGAATATTAACTGTGATTATAATCGTATTTTGTAACATAAATATAATACAATATATATATATATATATATACATATAAAGTCACACTTTATTTACTTTCTCATTGTCAGAAAAATAATTCAGCGTTTAAAAGAATAAATTTCTAAATAATAAATTATATTTTTGTGCAGTTTATTTATATTTAAAAAATCCTATACTTTTTTTAAGAGAAAGGAAAGTATTACTGCAATATGTACTATGATTAAATAATATCGTAAATTTTTTAAAATAATCATTCGACTGACTCTATGAAGTCATAACAAAATCAAATAACCATTATATTCCGTCATTTACTAAAGCTATTCGTTAGTTAATGATGTTTTGATTAACTGGAAAAACGTGATTCTTATCACTAACAAATGCTCATCAACTCCACGTAATTTATTTATCGCGTTGCACAACCGATGATTATTAAAAATGAATCTTCAATCGCAATATGATTATAATATTTATCGGGATTGTAAATCCGGTTACACATATATATGTATTATATTTCTATGTATGTATTATTTTATACATATGTTATGGCGATGAGAATACCATTATCCGTAATATAATTATATCTCTATTATTATCTCTATTTTATACTTCAGATCAAATTATTATTTATTTCTTCTTTTTTAATGTTTTTTTTATCACTTTTAACTCTTTTAATATAATTGTAGCAATATTGTAGTTTTATATAAATAAGAAAAACAAGTAAAATTATTAAATTAACTTTTAAAAATGTATTTTTTAAAATAGACAATTTTATCAAATAAGAAAAAAATTATAGATAAAAAAACTTTCTAGCGATGATATATTTAATTTCAGAGACTCAAACTATCTTGCGTATTCATCTCTCATGAATAATTCTTAGCAGCCTTTTATACATACGAGAATTTATAAAAAGTCTAGAGTATATCGATGACATAAACGGAATTTCCCCGGAAAAGATATATTTTATTTATTTTTGCACGTATCACTCCACCTCCATTGCTTTTTTTCTCTTTTTCGTCATTTCTGACACGAAAATACAGAAACTTTTTTAAAAATTTCTTCTTGATCTCCAACACGCTAAATTTAAATTTTGAAATAAATTTGCAGATACTGGCGACACAGAGGACATAGTATAACACAATGAATCGTTTCATCCTTGTTTACATTCGGGAACCAACAAGAATGAAGTAATTCACTGTGTCAATTGTATTTCTTGCTAAAAAAACGCCCATTAATGGAGCTGATTACGATATTAGACAAATAACAATTGATAAAAGATGATACAATTTACAAAAAAATGTACACATTCTTAAGCTAGAAAATTTTTTCAAATAAAAAACAAATAGATGCGCGTGTGCACGCGTTGTAATTTATATTTACATATTGTGATACGTATCACTGATTGAATAATACACTTTTATTTAAGATGTCGTGTGAAATTTTACTATCTTATCTAACATTTTGCACATTTTTGTACTCGAACAAGAATTAATTAATTATAGAATAAAACTTAAAACACATGCTTATAATTTCTATAAAATAAATTGATATTACTATCATGTTCGGTAACTCGCGCGGTAACTTTTTAATTCTATTATAAATAATACATTATTCTTCTCTACAAACTTTTATTTTATCTAATACTGTATTGAATAATGTAAATAAATAAACTGTAAATTGTATCGACAGAAAATATAAATCAATATCTCATCTAAATCTAAATTTTCAATTTTTTAATACTGAAATACTGATTATTATTGATAGAGAAACTGTTTGAAAAATTAAATGTATGAATAATGGAACATTTTAAGAATTAAGTAATAAAATATGTTCTAATAAAATATTCTCTAATTACTCTAAATATTTTAAATATAATAAAAAAAATATTAAATCGTAAATTTAAGTTGAGAAAAAAGAACGTCTTTTTCTTAGAAATTAAATAATTATAAGCAAAGTTGGATATTCTAATACTAATATAGCAAAATTTTCGACATGTAATTTTTAAATATCTAGCGGTAGGAGAGGTGGCGGCACAATCACTTGACAGCTGATCTATCAACATCTGACAGCTCTGCCATCAACACCAGTCGTGCACATTGATCCGAGACTGTGATGTCGCACAACGCAAGGTTAATCCTGACCGATTCGATGCGTGACTTACATCATAGAAAAATATTATTTGATTCACAAATATTGTTTTTGGCAACGAAAATGGATCTTTCTCGCTGTTCGATATTATTGTCATCATTGCAAATGCAATAACTGTATGATGAAGACCAAATCTTGGTCATGTCGACACTTATTGAAATTAACGATGATTTATACTCGTTCGACGAGGACACTCGTATCCCCGATACGATCGAGAAAATTGAGGAATCGATGGTGACATATAATGATTTCTTTTCAAAGTATCTAATATATAATCAACCGTGTCTCATTAATTCCCAAGCAACTGAAAATTGGCCGTGTAGACGTAACTGGGTATTGAATGGTGCACCCAATTTTGAAGTGCTTCGTACATTGTTCGGTACGTGAGAAATTTTCGTTGAAAAGAAAATTACAAGCATTAATTATTATTCATAAATTACTCTAATATCGCTAGTCAATTAATCAAAGGATCATTGGAAATAATGTAGTCGACCAAAACTAGTCAGAATTTTTGTTTATTAATTACAAAGTAATTAATTACTTTGTAATTAATAAGCAAAAATTAATAATGTTGATTATATACAAAGTAATTAATTACAAAGTAATTAATAAACAAAAATTCTGACTAGTTTTGATCGACTACATTATTTCCAATGATCCTTTCATTAATTATTAATACATGATTTCTACTACTAGGACGTACGATTGTCCCGGTTGCTGATTGTAACAAAAAGTTTTACAACTCGCAATTCAAAGATGACATGCCCATGAAAAGTTACTTGGATTATTGGATTGATTACAAGCGAAACAATTATGCGAAATCGATGCCATTGTTGTACTTAAAAGATTGGCACTGTGTTAAAGACTTCCCTGATATCCCGATTTACGAAGTGCCTCAGTATTTTGTATCCGACTGGTTGAATGAATATTATATCGCTCACCCTGAACTAAATGATGATTACATGTTCATATATATGGGGCCAAAAGAAACATGGTAAATACATTTTCAATGTTACTCTTCTCGATTATGATCCAAAACTTCTTTCTTATATTGATAATTGATTGTCTTTGCATATTGAGATTAATCTAATAGTTCCTACAATGTCCAGGACTCCTTTACATGCGGATGTCTTTACATCGTATAGCTGGTCTGCAAATATAATTGGAAGAAAGAGATGGCTATTTTTTCCTCCGCATGAGGAAGATCATCTTCGTGATCTTTATGGGCAATTAGCATATGATGCAGTTTCAGAGGATCTTAATGATCGTACAAAATACAGAACATATGATAGTAAAAAGTTAAAATGTTTTGATATAATTCAAGAAGCAGGAGAAATTATATTTGTGCCATCAGGATGGCATCATCAAGTTTGGAATTTGGTAAATAATTGTAAGATTCCTCACAACAAAGTTTAAGTGTATACTAACAAAAAGTTCATCATATCATTTTTTTTGTGTAGGAAGATACAATTTCTATTAATCATAATTGGATTAATGGTTGTAATATAGGCAATGTATGGCATGGATTAAAAAGAGAATTAAGGTCTGTTATGAAAGAAGTTGATGATTGCAAGGATATGAAGAATTGGAATGAACATTGTCAATTGATGCTCAAGGCTTCCTATGGCATGGATTATAAACAATTTCTCCAGTTTATATCATTTATTGCTAAGAATCGTTTACATGCTATGTTAAAGAAAAATCAAGTTATCAGTTTTCGCAAGTATTGTTTTGGATATAATCACTGTTTGTTTGATTTGCGAGTACTGAAACACACATTGGACGATATTATCACAGACGCGCAAGATCTGTCTGTGTATAATTTGATGTGCGAAAATGATGAATCATTATTGTTATTGAATGCTATTACTTCGTTTCTTGAATCATCTTGTAATATTGAAAATATAATTTCTCCATGATCAAAGCAAAATTTAATAAACTATTAACAAATAGAACAAATTTGTTAACAGAAGCAAATTGCGTGATTTTTGTTTTCATAAATATAGCATTTTTTACTTGGTTGTTGCATATGAAACCATGTCATATTCTTGTCTAAAATTTTACAAATTTCCTCCCTTAACTTTATTTAAATTTTCTCTTAGAAGATAACATTTTGCAGGGTCATAAGATTACCTTTATACAGTAAGCACGTTATATTAAACATATTATCTAATTAACCATAAAATGCATCAGAGATATTGAAAGTATTCTTAATTTTTGAAAAAATTGCTAATACATTATTTGCTGTGGAACATATATGTATGTTAAAAACCAATAATAATCTTATATTCTATAATGTATATATGATAAATCGAAGCTCTAAAAACTCTGGTGTATTTTCATACGTGAGCGAAATTATTTTTTTAATCTAAAGACAAAAATATTATTTTTCTTAGTTAAATATATATACTACACATTTTCTAAATGTATAAAGATTTACAATAAAAATTTCCTATTTGAATTCTACTAAGCTATAATTGCATCCTAATCAAGGATACAATATCCCTGCTGCTTGTAAAACAATAGCATCTCATAAAACAACTTATATTTAATTTTCACGCGTATTGTCTTATTTACTATTAATTATATAAGCATAAATATATCCTTATATATATTTATGTGTATGTTAAAATGATTATAAACGCGCATGCGCATGTGCTTGTATGCTTGTGTATATATATAAATGTAAATATATACTAATATATATATTAGTGCATACTAGTATACATACTAATATATATAGTATACATGCACATTGGCATATATATATTCGCGATAAAAAATATATAAAATTTATAAGATGCAAATGTAAATTTTTCTTCAAAAAGTGCCAAATGTGATTGAAATTAGATGATATTTTTCTAGTAAAATTGATTCAATAATGTATGTATGTGCATAATTATTTTCCAATAATGTATTATTTATGAGTGTGCGTCTAGAGAGCCCTGTTATTCCATATGTTATGTATATCTCATATCTAAATTTGCATTTTGTTTTTTTCTTTCTATGTAATTCATCTATTTTTTCCAATATATGTTATATCTAATAGATATGCTTGACATATAAAGATTTACGAAAATTCATCTTTTATATCTTTAACATAAGTATTTTATCTTTTTTAAGTTTGTAAAATTTCTTTAAAAAAATCTTTGCAATAAAATACATTGAATGCAAAAAAAAAGAAATAATGCGAAATTGTAGTCGAAATTGTAGTGTTAAGTATATCTCTTCTATGTAAGATACACGCTTATATATGTGTGTATACACATATTTATTAATCCATAAAAAATGTGCTCTTTCCTGCAGAGAGTTCTCTATACATTTCTTCCCTTACTGACTTGTAGCCACTTATAAACTGATATAAAATATTGCACCAGAAAAGAGCTATTTAAAATGAGATACATAGTTAGCTCTTTTTTTCACGATCCCTGATACTAAAGAAGAAGATTGTCATGGTTAAAAATATGATAAACGATTTTATCGCAGTTTTCTGATAAAACATTTTCTCCTCGCCCCACAGAAATAAGCAGACAATACAGGCAATTATGATACATCCTACTATTACACATTCGCATATATACATCTATACATCCCTGTACACACAGACGCACATTTATTTTCACACAATTTAAACACTTTTTCCTTAGTTTTTCAACAGTATCAATTATCATCTTGCATAGCAAGTATATCTAATATTTATAAAGCATCACACATGTCACAAAGTCTAATACATTGATCAATAACAATTAACTACTACTGCAAAGTTTAGACTTTCTGCAATGTGTGCTTATATTTATTTGACAAGTAAATCTTTTATATCTCTATTTAAATTAGGTATAGCTCAGTGTATTCTTCTTAAAATTTTAATTTTATCATTTATTAACAAAATAAACAATGAAATCTTTCTCTCTTGCCAATTAAAAAGAAAAAAAGGCTAAATAATCATTATCAGCTACTGATGAAAAGATTTTTACATAAGATCATTTGTAAATGAAATTGTAAAATGTGAATGAAATTCATGACATCAAGGAATTTTATCATCAACACAAAAATATTATTGATTATAAAATAACTTTTATATAGATTATTTCTCTATATATTACGTTTTGTTTAATTTTTCTCTGAATATATAACTACCTAAAATTTTTTTCATTTTTACATCTTATCTTTTTCTTTATAGTTTTCTTTTTAGTTATATATATATATATACAGGGTGTCCCGAAACTCATAATCAATTTTTCAAAGACAGATTCCTGGGATCATCTGAAGACGATTTTTCCTCAAAATGTCGAGGCACTAATAATTTTCGAATTATAAGTGATTGGAAATAAGGGGTTTTTCGTAAACTAAGCTTTGTAGAAATAAAATATTAACAAAACCACATTCTTCGATTAATTTTAAATAAGGTTTACTTTAATTGAATTTTAATTTAAGGCTTAATTGCAAAGATATATGATGATAAAAATCGGGAACATGCAAAAAATGATGGCCTTCATCGACATTTTTGCTGAGGAAAAATCGTCTCCAAATGATCCCAGGAATCTGTCTTTGAAAGATTGATTATGAATTTTGGGAGACCCTGTATGTGTGTGTGTGTATATATATATATATATATATATATATATATATATATATATATATATATATGCTAAAATACAAAATGTGAATTTTCTTAATGAGAAAAGTTTTAGTTATATTACAAGTATATAGATTATATCCATGCGCGGAAATTATTTATATGTTTTTCTCGTGAAGATTGTTCAACAATTATACAGAATGACTGGGTAGTGTCTGTACTGGTGGCACGGTTGGCGTTGTCACAGCTGGTGTTGTCGGTACAGGTACTGGCGTCGATGGTATCGGTTGATGCGTCTGTCTCGGCGGGGAAAGGAGTTCTTGTCTGTCTCTCTCCCGTTCCCGACCAGGTCGCCAAGCTTCTAATAAAGCTTCAACTCGCTCCTCTGTGGGTCCCCATCGTGCTGCACCAGCTGGATTTTGCAACCATACGACCAGCGTACCGTGTACTGCTCGGATGTTTACTTCACCTCTGGAAATATTATGAAGTGAAATAAATGATTTTCATGAATCTGGAATATATTCGTGATTCGTAAACGCACTTTGGAAGAATATGTTGAAATCCATGTCTATACTCATGCTCCATAGCAGGTACTACTACTTGCTTGCGCTTAAAATGACTCCCTTCAAGTTTTATAAGCGCGTTAGGAGCCGGATCTCGCCACTCCGGTAAAAATACCACAAATGACAAAGGCTCTGCCGAATCGGCCAACAGGCGTTCGAAATGATTGACCATGGCCTCCATAAGTTCCTCGCAGTAGGGCGGGTTTGCTTGAAACGAACCACTAACCGGCCTAAAATCCAAAAACGGTCCCCTCGAGCCGAAATATGAGTCCGTGTCGGCAAATGCCGAGCAATATTGCCGAAAATAACAATTTAGGGGCGAAGCGAAACATTCAAACGTAACTCCGAATGATCTCTGAAGACATTCAAAAACCGTCACTGGGAGAGCCATTTGAGTCGCTTGACCCTCATTGATTCCAAAGTATGTCTGATAACGTTTCAGCATGCACCAAACGCGTGGCAGAAACATTTCAAACTTTTTATCGTCGAAACAATTGTACCTATACAAATGTTCCAGTTTGGTGAGATGCGTATTGTTGATATACATAGTGTCACCATGAAAACGCAGCATCGTTTGCTCGCGTTCTGGCAGATAATCCACTTGTGGAAGTCTCGGTGTGGGAAGAGAGAATTGCACTGGGTAACACCAAACTTTTCTCTGTGTACTAGCTGGACCTCCTAAAGGTATAACATCTCCTAAACCATTATCCTTGAGAATCTGATTGTTTTTATCTTTCACCTTCTTCGCATATTCTGTTGATAGGTGATAAATTTTCAGGCATATACCCTCTACGCTGGCTTTAACAGTTTCTGTGAGATGCGGCTGGCATTGTCGCTTTAGATGGGCGAGCCTGTCCTGAAAATCGTCAAAAGTTGCGCCTACCGTTCTTCTTAACCATTGAAAAGTATCTTCCGCGTTCCACTTGACTACTTTTCGACTTTCGGAAGACGCCGCTCTCGATTCTATCATGTTCTTCGCGGCTTCGCAATAACGCGACAATTGTTTCCTCGCGTCACCTGTGAACTTTGGTCTCACCAATTTGATAGGGATATCGTTCATAATTTCGCGATACATGGACATGGAAATTTCAGGAAAGCATTGACTCGGTAGCAATGGATCCGAACCGCAATCGATGACCTTTCGTTCCATCAGCCATCTATTGAAAGAATCTTTCGGCGCGTCTATAGATTCACGAGTGTGACATAACTCTTGATAACATTGACGTAGTTTCGCCAATAATGCGCAACGCAAAGCTTCCGCTTCGGGATGAACATGCGGCAAACTTGATGGCGCTCTTTCATATATTATAACATTTGTAGGTATTTCCAGATCCCACGGACCGCTAACATAACAATAAACAAATTGTTTCTTGATGTTGACACATTTTAATATTTTAATGAAAATGAACACTTACGCCAATATAAATTTCTTTACTGGAACAGTCCCGTCTTCCGATGCCCTTCGCTTCAATGTACCGCCTGGTGTACCAGCTGGAATAGTTCCATTTCCAGGTGGAGGTGGTACACCACAAATACCAAGTGGATCCGTGATTGGATCAAACTTTGATAAAATATACATATGTATTATATTAACAAATCAGTTTCAATAGCAATACGAGTCGAGTGTCGATGTTATAACACATTTATTTATTTATTATACAACAAAAAATATGAAACAAATACAAAGACAAAGAAAGGATAGCGAACGTTTCGACCCTATTTTTGAGTCATCTTCAGCGCAAATGTGATGGTGATATAAAAAATATATAACAAAGGTGTTAAATATTATTGTATAATAAATAAATAAATGTGTTATAACATCGACACTCGACTCGTATTGCTATTAAAACTGATTTGTTAATTTTATATTTCGAATCTTATGCTTTTTATTATTTGTCATATATATTATGTTTTTCTTTTCTCTAAAAAATGCAGATATCTGTTCGTAATATTTTGTAATACCTGAGGTTTAAGAGAAGGTACTACCCACAGAGATTCTCCAGTTAATTTATTCCAAAAATATGGCCGACTTTCTCGTTTGCTCCAAAATTTCTTCCAACCTTGTTGTTGAAGTTCTACAGATAACTCGAGTTCCGGAAAACTTCCTGGTGGTGTACCCTATAATAATTTTCTTATAATCTGACAATTTGAAATTATTGTTAAAAGAAAAATCATAAAAGATCTTCTGATATACTTGAGTTATCAAAGGTGGTTGTTGAATATGACCAATTTGAGGACAATGATCGGCTATAGTTTGCATCGGTGTTAATATGGGTGTTTGGAGCTTCATAGGTGTAGGAACTATAACTTGCGCTACTGTCGAATTCGCATCTTGCTGTAGGGTCTGATGGTGATGATGCATAGCTGGCAAAGATGACACTGATTGCCCTGATAAAGTTTCCCAATTCGAAGTATTGGGTATATCTTGCTTTCCTCCGCTTACTTCGTTCATTGTTTGATATGCGTCTTGGCGCAATTTACTAAAAAATATTTATCCAAGTGTTATATCACACATCTAACAAGTATCTATTAAGATATATATCAGTTTAAAGATTATTACATCTTATAATCATGCATAAATTGATAAATAGAAGAAAATGTTATATATATTTTATTAAGTGAAATTACATATATATATGTATATAGACCTATGCAATATTGTAATAATTGTAGTAAAGAGATGGATTTTATATAGATAAAATGTTTTCATATTACTTGTATTTTTTTATGAATTAAACATCACATATAGTAAAAGAAAAAGACGAAAGTTTCCAAGAAAATATATTGAAGATGCGCGGTAAAAATAAAAAATTAAGATGGACCACACACACATTAGAGATGCTGTGGAAGAAAAAGCACATTGTACTTTATGCTAATACTATTTAATCGAATCCGACAAGTTTTCACGCATACTTTTACCCATAAATTGCAAAAGACACGAATAGTTTCTTCATAATTACAGGATCTTTTTTTAAAACATCGCGGCTCATCAACTCGGAGCGCTCAATGATACAATGTTTGTTTACATACTGAGAAAACACCTAGGAAAATACGCGATTTCTCGCGTCAAGCGATCATTCCCGCCTGCACAAAATATATCGTAGTCGAGAGAGGACTCACCAGAACTGATAATATTCTTAACTCATAAAAAATGCGCGACGACACTTAGAATTCATTCATGATTTGTGAAATTTGACGCAACGATATCCACCCGTACGACGCCATTTGCTTAAACTGAAAGGAATTACAGTGCGCGGCGAGGAGGGAGAGAGAGGAGGTGCGGTTAGGGTGGGTTTTCACTTGACGTTCGACGCTCATTTTTTAGCGTCAAAAAACATCACGTGACTAAAAATAAAGGTGTAATTTCATTGACGCTAAAAAGTAGCGTCAATCATTGGTTAAACAATGAAGCAATTACTTACTTCTTTGTTCAACCAATGGTTGACGCTACTTTCTAGCGTCAATGAAATTGCACCTTAAAGCGGCCTTTTCATTGACGCTACTTTTTAGCGTCAATGAAATTGCACCTTAACAGTTGGCAGCCCTACGAGATAGGCTGTGCAGCACTGCGCGTATATAAAATAAATTTGAAATCGCTTCTAGCCTAACCATCTTCACGCGATCGACTTTATTTGAATTGCACGGCATCGCATCGAATTATGATGCGGCGGCGATTTGTTCGAACGTAATTCGGGACATCGCGATGCTGTATAAGCGTCGAATGAGCACGAATTGTCACGCAAATATGATAAATCACATCTATTCACCGTTCACCGGCTGTTCCACAGGCCGCTCCACTCGCTCGCCTCGGGACGTCTCATTCCGATCTTGATGCACACAAATTCACACGAAATCATCAACGCGAACGCGCGACACTTTATTCGGCACTCCCGATATTCGCTCGCATCCGATAATCATCATCAAGGGCGCAAATAACGCGACGCGACTTCGCTCCATCTTCGCGATGACGCCATCACTGAATATCGTCAAAAATCGCTGTCGCGCGTTTCCATCGACACACTATAAAAGTCGCGCGATCATCCTTCGACACTTTCGACGCTCGTTCACTCGCGATATTCGTTTAAAAACGGTTAGAAGACACGAAAAATGCGGACGTACGACGATCCGTGTAACTGCGTATGACTCCGAGTCACGTATGACGCGTATGACGTAGCTGTGACGTAGCAGTGACGTAGCAGTCACGCGCCAACATGGCGGCCGAACCAGTGCGCACTGGTTCGGCCGCCATGTTGGCGCGTGACTGCTACGTCATACGCGTCATACGTGAATCGGAGTCATACGCAGTTACACGGATCGTCGTACGTCCGCATTTTTCGCGTCTTTTAACCGTTTTTAAACGAATATCGCGAGTGAAAGAGCGTCGAAAGTATCCAAGGATGATCGCGCGACTTTTATAGTGTGTCGATGGAAACGCGCGACAGCGATTTTTGACGATATTCAGTGATGGCGTCATCGCGAAGATGGAGCGAAGTCGCGTCGCGTTATTTGCGCCCTTGATGATGATTATCGGATGCGAGCGAATATCGGGAGTGCCGAATAAAGTGTCGCGCGTTCGCGTTGATGATTTCGTGTGAGTTTGTGTGCATCAAGATCGGAATGAGACGTCCCGAGGCGAGCGAGTGGAGCGGCCTGTGGAACAGCCGGTGAACGGTGAGTAGATATGATTTATCATATTTGCGTGACAATTCGTGCTCATTCGACGCTTATACAGCATCGCGATGTCCCGAATTACGTTCGAACAAATCGCCGCCGCATCATATAATTCGATGCGATGCCGTGCAATTCAAATAAAGTCGATCGCGTGAAGATGGTTAGGCTAGAAGCGATTTCAAATTTATTTTATATACGCGCAGTGCTGCACAGCCTATCTCGTAGGGCTGCCAACTGTTAAGGTGCAATTTCATTGACGCTAAAAAGTAGCGTCAATGAAAAGGCCGCTTTACACACTGAAAAAGTTGAAACTGTTTGAACTTTATTTTATTGATGCCATATCTAGAGAAAGTCTAGTGATTTTAATTTGCCGCTGGTTTCTAGCGTCAATGAAATTGCACCTTTAAGATGCGGCCTCATTGACGCTAAAAAGTAGCGTCAACCATTGGTTGAACAAGGAGGTAAGTATAGTTGCTTCATTGTTCAACCAATGGTTGACGCTACTTTTTAGCGTCAATGAGGCCGCATCTTAAAGGTACTATTTCATTGACGCTAAAAAGTAGCATCAACCATTGGTTGAACAAAGAAGTAAGTAGTTGCTTCATTGTTTAACCAATGGTTGACGCTATTTTTTAGCGTCAATGAAATTGCACCTTTAAGGTTCTTGCGTTTCACGGACTTGTTGCTTGTGCGTTTGACAGAGCGTAAGAATGACACGTGACTCGAATGACAGCCAATCTTATTTCTTATTTCGGTTTTTACGGAAATTGAAAAATACGTAGCAGGATATGATTGGTCATCGCTTTTTCCCGCGTTCGCGTATGCGAGGGTATATACATACCATTTTTATTCACGATGAAGATGTAATAAAAGCAAATCTATATTTACTTTCCATATCTATAGCGAAAAGCAATATAATTATATATGTTTATTTTCTAAAATAAAATAAAATAAAATGAGTATAAATATAGGTATATACAGAGTATAGAAAAAAATAGTTCAGGACTTTTCGACTCAGTTTTCCACGAGGAATATGGCTATATATAAATAGTGGGCGCCAATTAAGTGACACCCTGTATATTGTAAAGATTGATGTATTGAACAGGAAGTCTATCCTAAGCCGAAAGGCAAGGATTAATGGATAATATATGTTTATTTTCGATTAAATCCCGTATTTCGATTAAATATTCTATCAATATTCAGTCAATATAAAAAAAATATACAAATATACAATTTCAGATGAGTCACCTAGTATAGTGTATGTTCCGATGTCAGATGTCTCGCCCTGTATAGTGTATGCATAATAGGTTAGAAAGAGAGAGAGAAAGAGAGCAAGACAGAAGATCACTGCCGTGATTGGTTACCTACCAAGTCCGCGCATGTGAAGTTTATATTTACTTATGCTAACATCAAAGGTACCGACAGAGAGTTGCTCTGTATATACCGTGATAGCAGTCATCATTCCAGATTATATATAGTTCAGTGATCGAAACAGTGAATAAGCAGCTGATAGAGCTAATAATAGATGCCAGATAATTAATGTCAATGCTAGTCAGTCAAATTAGACAAGCTTAGTTGCTTATAGTATGTTCAACATTCAAATAATTGCCGCAACTACTAAGTTGCGATAATTAAGTCTCTGTAATAAGTTGCACGAAAAATTGTATTGTTAAATATGGATTTAAGCCATAAGAAATTAATCAATCATATTCGATTATTCTTCTTATATTCAACTGTGATTGGTCAGTAATTTATGGCTTAAGGCTTATTATACCTATTGTGGATTCGGGATAAAGGCTTGTTTATGAAAATCAACAGAAACTGGGATTTGAATGTTTTCATTTATAATGAATTTTAAATTTATTACACTAATCACGAGGAAAAGATAAAAAATGAGCCGGCCAAAATGGGATGTGCTGTGGTGCCCTTTTCACTCCGACAGGTTCATTACCTGGGACAGTGATGCAGTTTTAAGTCTCTACGAAATTGGACCGCGAGATAATAGCATACGAGACAATGATCACATCTGTAAGTTTATGATAAAAAATCTTTATGATGATATATTGTTGTTTCTCGTTGAAAATAATCTTACATGTTCCTTCTGATACAGATCTACAAATCTCAGAACACTCCATCGCTGAACTTGTCTCATCCATTACTATTAATAACTATGCAAAATGTATCGATATATATCCACAACCAGAGCCAGATATCGTGGCGAGTGGTCATGCAAACGGAAAGATAGTTTTGAGTACACTTAGCCCCCCAGAATTTGATTACCAAGGACTTGTCGGGAGAGAGTTTTGTAAATTGTGTTTTACTACATCATAGTTTAATTATATTAATTATTTTGGTATATTATAATCTTTATGTTAAAAATTTCAGATCCAAAATATATGCGAACATGCAATGTTGTTGCTTGGAATCCAGTGGATATTCATTTGATTATGTCAGGCTTGGATAAAAATAGTAAAGAACACTCTGTATTACTCTGGGATGTGCAGCATTATCCAAAAGGTTCCGAACGACCGATAGGAGAAGCTGGTATATCAGAAACTATACATTCCGCTGCTTGGTTTAAACATGATTCGAGATGTTTGGCTTTTGGTGCTAATAACAAGCAATTGAAAGTTGTTGACTTTAGAGGTCTGTTCAGAAAAGATCGATACACAATCAACAGATTGTTAATATGAATCAATCATGTGATTAAATTCTTCTTTCATTAGATTCTGCCAAAGTGGTGAATGTTACTTCCACAAAGGCAGTATATAATCTGTCAGCAAATCCCCATAATAATTATCAGCTACTTTCGCATGTCGATAATCTGATTACAGTGTGGGATACTAGATATTTTGAAAAACCAATTGTTACTATAGCACCACAAAGGCAAGTTACAAAAGTGCTATGGTGTCCAACTAGACGCAATCTAATTGGTACATTGCATAAAGACTCAGGTATAAAAAAATGCATTATGCTTTTAGATTATAGTTACACATATGTATGATATATAGTTACATGATCAATAAGTATGTGTATGCATTTTACAATTGTGATTGAAAAGTATTCAAATAGATAAACTGTTATAATAATAAAAAAAAATTAAAGTGAAAATATATATAAATTTTTATTTTATAGCGGGCTTGCATTTGTTTGATATCCAATACTGTGGAACAGAAGATACTGAACCGGGTGTTTTGGAAAGAGTGGTTTTACCACCGTGGCATAGTCCTATAAGTTTTTCATGGCATCTGACTGATGAGAATCGATTGTTAGCGATATCATTGCAAGGTATCTAATAGTATATAAACTTATTTTAGAACAATTCTTACATTTTATAACATATTGCAATTACGATATTGCTTATTGAAACATTCTCATTTTGCAGGAGTAACCGATTACACTGTATGTGAAAGAATAACACTCAATTGGTCTGCACGATCGTGTCTTATGTGGAATTATGCTTTTAAATCATTCAAATATATAAACAGTGAGGATAGCATTTATAAGGAATTGAGTGATATTTCAGTTTTAACTAAAAGACGTGCTATCCTTGAATATGGCTTGCTTGTAAGTGAATAATAAAAAAGATGGAATGTTATTAAGCCTTGAATATTGGCTGTTTCTAACTATTTATATCGAGTGTATTTAACATTAATTCTTGCTTCAGATTTATATTAGTCTCTTGTATTTTTTTTTTTCTATCTTTGATTATGTTTATTATGCTTTGAGATACAGTATGTATGTTTATATTTGCAGACAGATTTAGCGCAAAATGGTGATATAGCCGAAAATGAAAGTTTGAAGAATTTATGGCAATGGTTATATCTGAGTCGCTCTTTAGTAGAAGATGGCACTATACAAAGTCCGGACAATAAGCACCCCGGTGTGAGGTAAAATTATATAACGTGCCATCAGTTAAAATGCACATATATATATAGTTTAATGCTTTCGATCTTTATACAGGACAATTTTGAAATTGGAGAGTCAACAAAACTTAAGTAATGGTTTTTTAAAATCGGAAGTCATTCATCGTTCCTGGGCGGACATAGGGTCGAATTATACAACAAAGATTTATAGGTGATGATTGTTTTATCCATAAATGTGTGAATATTTATATATATCTCATGTAATTTTGATCGATACCTGTAGATCGCCAGACAGAGAAAAAAGTCTTTTCCTTTGTGGTTTGCGATTTGACAAAGAAACTAATACTGCATACGATAATGCATATCTCGAAAAATTAGAGAGGGAAGGTGCATACGCGAAAGCAGCAGCATTCGCGGTATTTAATCTCTGCCTAAGACAAGCTATAGACATCTTGAATCGAGGTGCCAGTAAAAAACAAGCTACTATTCTGAATATGGTGGCTATGGCACTATCGGGTTTTTCTGAAGAACGTACTACGTTGTGGAGGGAATCTTGTCAGAAATCTAGATCTCAATTATCAGATCCATATCTGAGAGCGACATTTGGTTTCTTAACATCGGATAACGATTCTTATGAAAGTGTACTTGTAAGTATAAAAAGTATGCAAATGTGAATCAAATTTTGACGAAAAGTTAATTTTACGCTTAATAAACTTGACATCACAGAACGAAAACGGTATGACTGTCGAAGATCGAATAGCATTCGCTCTTATATTTTTGTCTGATAATAAATTGCACGAATATTTAAAAAGATTGACTCAGAAATTAATCGAAGAGGGAAATCTAGCAGGCTTCTTGCTTACAGGTATTTAATTCAAGTATGTTTTATATTTATAAGTACATAATATTATTGCGTCTATACAGATCAGTACTTTGTGGCAGTCTCTCTATATTCTCATTATCACAATACAAGATGTGATAATATTAATTACATTAATAACATATATTGTGCTTCAGGAGCAAGTATGGAAAGTATACAATTATTGAATAAATATTTGGAAATCACATCAGATGTTCAGAGTTGTACTTTAATTGCTGTTAGAGCTTTTACACCCAAATTACTTCAAGAAAATCAAGTCCAAGTGTGGATTACTAAGTATTAATCTTTTATCTGTAAATATTTATCGAATAATTGGCATTTCGATTCTATATGTATGAATGATCGCTGTTATAGTTATAGACATCTTTTGAATGCATGGAAATTATGGTTTCAAAGAGCTAGATTTGACATTGCTATGAAATCGACGATACCACAAGAAAGACCACCACAACAGATACATGTTTCTTGTAATTTCTGTGGTAAAAGTATATCTGCTTTCATGCAAGGACTGAGCAGGACCAGAGTTCCATTTAGATTAGGTACTACTCCTAATAAATTAAAAGTAGGTTGCTTACACTTTTCTATGTATCTTATGTATTTATTGGATTTGAAAAAGTCGCAAGGGTTTTCCTCTTCCTGTGCTTTCCAATTCATAGATGACAGCATGCCCAAATTGCCGCAAACCTTTGCCTCGTTGCGCAATATGTTTGATGCATATGGGAACTGTCAGTGGACTGCAAACTGCTCCTAGTCCTGGTGGCAGCAGAAGTGAAGAATGTGATATCAAGGTTACAGAATTCAATAGTTGGTTCACGTGGTGTCTAACATGTAAACATGGTGGACATAGCGAGCACATTTCACAGTGGTTTCGGTAAGAATTCTGAATTACATTCATGTTGACTTTCAAAAAAATCTGTAATATTATTAATTTCTATATTCCAGGCAACATACAGAATGTCCAGTCACATCTTGCAACTGCCGTTGTTCATCTTTAGATTATACACGTAATGCAACTGTGACATAAGAATATATATCCCTTGTAAATAGGAATTTTTATATATTCTTGTATAATACTAAGGACATCTTACATGACATTTATAATTCTAGAGTTTCTTGCATGTTTGTCGAATTTAATTGATTTAATTTTATATACAAACAAAAGATAACACATGTCTCAAGAACTTTTATTGGCATATATAATTTTACAAAAACATACGCCATAATAGCTAATAGAATGTAAAGAAAATATGAAACAGTAAACAATTTACATATATTATTAATTTTTCTTATTCTCTGTTAATCCTTATAAAACACTCCTTCCAATTGATTACCCACTGCACAGCGCATATTCATCATGGTATTATAACCATTTACATCTATAAATATATAAATTTTAATTAAGAGTGATGTTGATACTTTTAGTAAAAGAAAAAAGCCAATGAGAAATATTTTACTTACCAAAATCCTTTGTCATGTTTAAAGGAAACAATACAAAGTTGCTGCATGACATAGTAGACTTTGACTTTACAGTACCACGTATTTCCACGTAACCTGACGCATCGTCGTCGAGAAATTCTGGGAAAGTTACATTAATTCGAGCATCATCCGTTGTTGTTATCTCTGCGCTCTTGCCATCTGAACTTTTCTGTAAATCGCATCAAACTAACAGTACACGCATATAAAATAGTTAATACTAACAGTACACGCATATAAAATATTAAATAATATATATATTTTTTAAAATAAATATTTATATGTCGACATAAAATATTTATATAAAACGTAAATAGTAAAAATATTATATTTTTTAAAATAAAAATATTTATATCGACATATAGATATTTATTTTAAAAAATACGAAATTATTCTAAAAATTATTAAAGAAATTAATCAATTTAGATTAATCCTTCGGCAGTTAAAAGTACAATTACAAAAAATGAGAAAATTAATATTTTGTTAAACTCTAACTTATTAGACTATATTATAATGATAATATTAGTGTTTATTGCAAAAAAGGCAATATTAATTATTGCAATATCAATTATTTTCGTAGCGCAAATCGAAACACCGGCGAAAATGTCATAATCTAACCTATTTTAATCTAGCTTGGAATATTTCCTTACTCCTGTAATTCTGCCGAGTACAATCGCTTCTTGTCCGACGCGTTGTACTAATCGTTTGCCCAATGTACGTATATCCGACATTTTTCCAAATTAATTAATATATCTTTTCGATGCCTCAGAACTCGCACGGTTACTGCTAAACTACATAAACAAAGAGCTGGGAGGAGTTTTGGCGCCAAACGCCAAATAAAACACCACTGCGCACGCGCGAGTTGGAACGTCTACTGTAGACGGTCTACATCCAACTTGTATATACATACGTATGGCATCTATTCTTTGTATGAAATGTTTTTGTATGGATCTCCATTATTTATTATATTTTTGTATGGGTCTCCATTATTTATTATATTTTTGTATGGATCTCCATTATTTATTATAACAATTTTATATCTTGATTACTTTTATTTATAAAAAGTAAATAATTGAAATATAATGAAATCAATATAAATTTACAATTGCATAATTATTACAATCTTAAATCTATAACTCAAATGTAAATAAATGCTACAATTAAAAAATTGACATTTCTTATTTGTATCTGTTTCTTCACATGTACTCTGTGATCTTATACATGTATACATTAAGAAATGTTTAAAAATGTTAAAATAGTTACAATGACATTATACATTGCTTGAATCTCTGCTTTATCTTCAGTTTCACCCATGCCAAGTTGAGTAATAATAGGCTGGGATGACAGACGTAAGCTTATTATAGAACCTTTCGTTATGCTAGGTAAAATAATTTTTTCGATCTTGATTTCTAAAGCTCTCGCAATATCTTGTACGACTTCTTTTACATCTTTTACATCTGCACGATTGATATATTTGTCCCGTACAATTTGCATTTTTTCTCTCATATTAAAAGAAATTTTGGTGGAATAAGTTCTTTCGAATAAATCATGAAGGTTTTTGAGTAGAAAATCTTGCCTGGTCACTTTACATTCTTTGTTGGTACGTTTCATATACAATGTTTGTGCCTCTTTTGATAGATTTGCAACTGGTAATGTTGGTTTGCTAACCACACATTCTGATATTTCTATACCTAATTTTTGTATAGTTTCTTGAAGCATTTCTTTGCTACTTGCTTTGTTATTTTTTTCATTATTTCTTTCTAATAACTCCTTTACATCAGGATGTAGATGCTGAAGCAAATTTTTTGCAGCTTCTTGCTTGGCAATTTTTTTACATGATGCTGAACCTTTTTCACATATAGATCCTATACTGACTTCTATTGTAAACATCTTCATATGATCTGGTCCTCTCTCATCAACAACCTTATACACAATGTTACTGGCTAATAACTCCTGTTGTACACAAAATTCCTGCATATAAAATATAAGGTGAATATGAGTTATTACTCTAACAATTAACTATTGTATTATATTTTATTTACTTATCAGATAATACAATAGTTAATTGTTAGTATAAGTAAATAAAATATAATAAATAAAATATAATAAATAAAATATAATAAATAAAATATAAATAAATAAAATATAATATAATAAGTAAATAAAATAAGCAAAACAAAATTTACTTGCAACAATCCAACATAATTAACAATTTTAGGGCTCGATTGAGTCTTCATTGTTGATGGTAATATTGACTCGTAAGTTTTTATTGGCATAGAGGTCTGTACTTTGTTTGCAATTGGAGACAATACTGAAATTTCATTTTTCGCAGCCAGTAGTGATAACATTTTCTCTGCAGCATTATGTTTAGCATCTTTTTTAGAATTTCCTTCACCTTCAGCATTGAATTCTTTACAATCTACTCTACATACAAAACGATCGTAAATTCCAACCTTCTTTACACTCACATAATTATAAATAGGAACATATCCCTGTTTAGAACCTAATTCTTGGAGTAAGCTAATTGGTGATTTAGACATCCTGAAATTAAAAAATACAAGATACTTTATTTATAAAATTATATAAGAGCAAAAAAAATGGAGCAAACATATAAGTTTATAGTTTTAAAGGAGTTTTTACTAAGGTTTTAATCATTCTGTATATATTTCAAATATAATTATACATTATCATGCATTACAATATATAGTATTGCAATAAATAATTAATATTTTAATTAATCTCTCATAGAACTATATAAGACTTACTTTTAATATAGAATTATTTACAAATAGGCAACAAAATTGTTCCAAAATCTTGATGTAATTTTGAATTAGGAATATTATTTCTCACACAAAAAAAAATCTGTTTTTATGCTTAATGAATTATTTCAGCTTTCTACTCCATTAATTAATTATTATCTTTTAATTATTGATAATATCTCATCAATTAATTAATTATTATCTTTTAATTATTGATAATATCTCGTAGGAATATATCGTATCGTCGGAATAAAAAATTGTGCAATCTTTCGAAATCACTTCTTGATATATGTGCTCGGAATCACACTTTATTCAAATAATGATGAAAATAATAATTATGTCACATCTGCATATATTTTTTTCTTATAATTTACACCTTTTTTTGTTTCTTTATATATTTATACGTTAATGTGATAAGAGAATTACTTATGTTGAATCATAGTCCGAGACATACTGACGTGGCTATCGAAAATGTTTCATAAAAGCCGGGGAAGTCTCATCATATAAATCGATAAATACCTAGCATTCTTCTCTGAAGATAACATGAAAGTATATTTCGATTAGGATCTCTTTTTTTTATATTTATCATCTGGGAGTTAATTGTGTATCACATTATTAAATGAAAATTACAAAAGTGAACAAATTTACTAGATATTGACTAATGAAATTATAAGGGCCACCTCGATCAAACTCCGATTAAAGGTGCAATTTCATTGACGCTAAAAAGTAGCGTCAACCATTGGTTAAACAATGAAGCAACTACTTACTTGTTTGTTCAACCAATGGTTGACGCTACTTTTTAGCGTCAATGAGGCCGCACCTTAAAGGTACCATTTCATGCACAGCGTGCTGCCACAGTTCGTTGCTATTGGTTGAAGAATTGTTACTAGATGCCGCAAAATAAATTTCACCATATTTCGCTTAATCGCTATGAAGTTCAATTGAACGTAGAGCAAAGCAGCAAAGACACGTAACACAGACATAAACTATAAAATATCTTGTGAAATATTCATTTTTCGATTATCTTGCCTTAATATTTTTATGTATAAAATAATGAGAGAAATCAATTGGTGTAAAGAAAATACATAGTTATTTCTATGAAAAAATATGTAATTTGCAATTAACAATTCCATATTTTTTCTTAAAAACAACTGTTTATTATATGATATTTTATGGATTTTATTTAATGAATATTTTACAAGATATTATATTTTATTACATGATATTTTATGTAAAATTAAGAAATGATTTCAAGCTTCCTAACTCGAAAAGTACTTCATGTAAAAATAATTTATTATAGTGTTTTAGAAAGCTCTTGAGGTAAGCTACAAGAATATGCAATGAAAAATAGGGGGTTCTATTTAAAAAATGCACTTCCGATCTAAATCGCCTATTTCCGGCCGGAACCAGAAGTTGAAAATATCATTCGATAAAGCACACCCGATTTATAAAGAAAATATTTTTACTTTTTTGAAATAACCACTTCTCTAGTTTTTAAATGGGTGGTACGGGTGGTCTGAAACATCCTGTATGTATGTATATATATATATATATATATATATATATATATATATAGAGAGAGAGAGAGAGAGAGAGAGAGAGAGAGAGACCATAAAACTTATTTATATCAAAGATGTATATGTATATAACTTGTCTTGCATTCATATTTTTGCACTCATATTGCCGGCACTTTGTGCACATAGCACGGAACAGAACCACAAATCGTAAACATAACATGTTACCCTTTGAGAAGTTTCGTGGACATGGTTCAATGTCTACGTTTTATGGACCTAAATCGGGGGCATGACTGTTAGGCTTTTCTCTGGTATATGTATTGCATATACATGCACGTATACATATGAGAGCATATGATGACAATTATAAATATAAACATTGACATAAGTGAAATATTAAAAAATAAAACAATTTATATAATACTTCGTTCATAATGATATAATTAACAAAAGATTAGGAGAATCGGAGGACCAAATTTCTCTCCTACTATTTTAACCCTCAACCTTGTCCAATCGACAAGAATCATTTTTTAAAGTATGTTTTTATGTACAATCTACATAAACCATGTCGGATGCATTTGAGGAGATACAAGCGATCAAAATAAAGAGGAATAGTTATCGCGAGAAGCTACAGAAAAGGAAACGAGAACGACATGAATTATATACGCTCACTTCAACGTCGGTTTCATCCACCCTGACAACAGAATCAGCATGTCCTGGTATTGAAAAATACCTATTAGATAAATAAAAATATCTATTTAGACTAATAAATTTGATAGAGAAAAATTTATTCGCAATTTTTATATATTCATCTGTTGCAGATTCCAATGCATCTTCACGCTCTGATCACAGCGAATATGAAAGAGATGTACTTTGCATCCTGCATGAATCTCTGCCTAATCTACCGATAACGTCTGCGGACTTGATAGATCAGCTACGCAAAAATCTCAATGCTGATGTGTCTTCTTCCGACATTCATAAGATTCTAGAGAAACTGGCCACACAAGATATAGTCAAGTGAGAATCTATATTATATTGTATGATGTAGAATAATCCTATTTTTTGCTGTGTATATGAAAGCTGCTAAATATAACTTATATTTTTAGAATCAAAGAAGTCACAGAGAATGGAGTGTTTGGATATACAGTATTATCTGTAACAGAATCTCAGTCATCATGTCAATCCCAGTCCGACGACACGGAGAATCCTGAAAGCGTAGAGACATCCACGTCCGATCCAAATGATCACATACCTTCGGAAAAACAAGCAAGGATAGAAAAAAAGAATACTGAGGATATTATGTCCTTGATTTCGATGCCGACCATCAGAGAAAAGGAGAGTAAAAAAGTCGGCGAACAAATCTTAGATTTATTGTCAAAGCAGACTTCCAAGGAGAAATCGCTGGCTGAACGATTTCGCTCTCAGGGAGGCGCTCAAGTTATGGAGTTCTGTCCACATGGTACAAGAGTTGACTGTGTAAAATTGAACGGCGGCCCAGGATTTGCAGAAAAATGTAAAAAGCTGCATTTTAAGAAGATCATACAGAGTCACACAGATGAATCTTTGGGCGATTGTAGCTTTTTAAATACCTGCTTTCACATGGACACATGCAAGTAAGAAACCAAGAAGATTATAATGTATCAAGTTCACATATGATATAAATCTACATAAATTTGTTAATTTCTCAATATTCAAATATTATTCGCATATTAATCTATCTTATAAGATTAGATCTTATAAGATTATATTAAATATTAGTTAGATCTGTTTGCATATTTTTATTTTAAACCAAAAGAAAAGAGAATTTAGAAACTAAACTAAATTTTTCATTTTTTTACCTCGTGCAGATATGTACACTATGAGGTGGATGGTCCCACAGCTCAACCAAAGGAAACCAATGATTCCGATAGTCTAAACAATAGCATGCCCAACAAGACGCTGAACTTGGATAATAAGAATGGTGGTGGTACCAGTAGCAATGTAGGCAGCGAATTGACTCTGTATCCACCACAATGGATTCAATGTGACTTACGTTATCTCGATATGACAGTTCTTGGCAAATTTGCTGTAATCATGGCTGATCCACCATGGGATATTCATATGGAATTACCTTATGGCACTATGTCAGATGACGAGATGAGACAATTGGGAATTCCAGCCCTTCAGGATGAAGGACTTCTGTTCTTGTGGGTAACTGGCAGAGCCATGGAATTAGGAAGAGAATGTTTACAGTTGTGGGGCTATGAGAGGGTTGATGAGATTATTTGGGTGAAGACCAATCAACTACAAAGAATAATACGGACTGGTAGAACGGGACATTGGCTAAATCATGGCAAAGAACATTGTTTAGTTGGCATGAAGGGCAATCCTCGTATCAATCGAGGACTGGACAGTGACGTGATCGTCGCCGAGGTACGTGCAACTAGTCATAAGCCTGACGAAATTTATGGCATCATCGAGCGCATGAGCCCGGGCACAAGAAAAATCGAATTGTTCGGTAGGCCGCATAATGTGCAGCCCAATTGGATCACTTTAGGTAATCAAGTTGATGGTGTTCATTTAATTGATCCACAACTCATCAAAGCCTTCAAGAAACGTTATCCCGATGGAAATTCAATGAAACCTGCTAAACCATAAATTTGCCCTCTTTCAATATATATTTGATATGAAATTAAAACATAATTTGTTCTTTCCATAAATGATGATAAAATATAAATTATATTAAGTACTATAATATTCCATTTATCATTTCGATATATGCTGATATAAAATGGACGCATAATTATAAATATAGAGAAACCAACTACTTATCTTGTATTTTAAGTTGATAACATTTGTGTATATGTATATATTATATTTAAGCTATGCTTTATCTAGCATGTATGTCTTACATATATATTCTTCAGTGTTTTTCTGTTCCTTCTTAATGAAACTAATTATTCAAGGAAAAAATATCAATGTAGATTAAATTTCTTGAAAATTAGGTTCAATTTCTGCAATATATATGTTATTTCTTTTTAGCACAAGATAAACTGGATTGCGAGTATAATATGTTAAATGTGTTTTATATGTAAATATAAAAATTATAGATCAAATCTAAATTTATATCACCACATTTATTGTACATGTTATGGAATGTGTTGCTATAATGTTTTTTAAAAACTTTTAGTTATCACTAAAAATTCTTTTAAACTCAAACAATTAGAATTTTACAAAGTAAAATTACAACATAACAGTTACCATTACTATAACTTTTCTTTGTACTAATTAGAATTATCTCACCCTTTTTATATAATATATTAACAACTATGCTTCTTATCAAAAGTACAAAAGCTCGAAATAAGTTTTTATTATATATAGCCGATACTATTGCGCTTTTGCTTGAGCAAACTTTTCCTTATAGAAAAGGAAAAATGATTATCATTTATACTGCTTGTGGAAGTTCTTCTGGATAGTGATGTCCGTGTAACGCGATTATTCGAATTTGATTCTGTGTTATTCAACAAATTCTCCTTGTCATCAGTGTTAAACACTTTGTCTGGAATACTCATTCTAGAGTATAATTTGTTGAATGCATCAATCCAATGTCGTCTTTTATGTCCATCTTCTGTTATGAAAGAATATTCTCCGACTTTAAAACCCATTTCCACGTTATTTTTATCATCCGTTTGCACACATATTTGTTCTTTAGGTATGATGGGAAAGAACAGATTGTATTTTTTGCTAACACGCCGCGTAGAGCGAGTTATTGCAAAACATGTGTCAAAAAGGAAGCAGTAATATTTCTACAAAAATATTTATGTGAGCATACTTAAATGAATTTATTATGTTATATCAATAAGAAAGCGTAAAATAGCACTTACTATTCCACGTGTATCCTTAAGCTGCCCTTCAATGATTAAATCTGTGGCGTTGATGATGCACTTTTCAGGATCATATTCCATCTTTACGTTTATTTTCGACTGAGCGAGTTTGCACTCTGCATCACCCATGATCCAATCAATATCTTTTAGCAAATTGGAAAGGACATTACTTGCTTCTTTCAGCAACAAATGATCTTTGTCATTGGTGGCAGTATGTTTTAAGATCTCTTTCACCAATAATGGATACTTGACAATCCTTGAACGTGGCACATCTAAATAAGTCCATAGATCGACAGAATGTGGCAATTCTAATCGTTTTTTTAGAAATGATTGAAATCTTTTATTACTAAATTTTTTCTCGTCGAGTAAATGTCTCGCCCAAATTAATGTTCTGCATCTTTCTAGATATGGTTTCTTCAATGTTGACAACTACAAAAGTAATTAAATTGTGATATCAAATATAATATACATTTATGGAACATATTAATGAAAAAGAAACTAACCCAATTCAATAATGTTGGACCAACAGTCTTTGTGAATCCAGATTTATCTCTGAGTTTGAGCAACTCATCCCTCAAGTTCCTGTGTATCTCAATGAGATTTGTAAGATCGCCAAAAAGGATGAATAACTCTTCAGATGTAAAAATTTCAGTAGATAACATTGGTTCATAATAGAAATTTTTTAATATGTAGAGCTCGTTTAGTAGCACATTTTCACCACAGTATAACTCATAAATAGCCTCCTGCCTCTTAATTTCACTTCGACTTAATATATTATTTAAACACTCTTTGCCATGTAGTTGTGCGACATCCAACATCCAACTTCTGATTGTCAAATTATTGCAACTTTCAGCAGTATTATTCAATCTAAAAAAAAACGAATATATTTTGTGAAACAAATTTATTTTCTAAATCAAGACATTTAAGTGTCAGACAATTACTTTCTGCGTAATGTTCCAGTATCTGTCTCATCTTCAATAATTGATAAATCTGATGAGTTTGGTTGAACTGTAAAAGATCTGTGCAGAGTATTTCCCAGCTTACTTCCAACTATGGACGAGGAAAATATACTGCTAGCAACCTCTGTAATCCTGCGACGCTTCTTCTTCTTTCCAATGTCGGATTCCATAGATATGTCCATCGAGCTTACGCTCATTGCGTCGCTCTTTGGTCGTTTTCTTGATCTCTACAGCACAATGCACACAATACAAACAAATAACATTTAAGCATTATTTTCAAACAAATACAATTTTATTATCAGCATACACAGAGAGAAATATCATTCTACTGCCAAGAAAAGCGATTACTCAGTTTATTTTTCTTTTTTTAAGTAATAATTTTCTTCAACAAAGAATATATTCTTGATAATAATCTTAAAATATACTCATCACAAGTGCTAGAAAATCTCATTATCATGTACTCAAAAGAATTTTTCTTTTCAAGAATATTGTAAAATTGTATCAAAGAAAAATCAAACTTACTTTATATGGTAAGGAAATCAAATTTTTGTTTTAATTTAATATTCTTGACTAAAATACACTTACTAAAATTCAAAATATATTCAATTAAATTTAATGCTTGTGATAAACTTATGATATACTTAAAATAAATAATATTTACTTGAATACAGTATACATTTTTCTCTGTGTACACATCGAACAATGGTGAACTCGAGTAAACGTGAACATTACGTATATAATATATATGTTTGACGTTACGTACTTAATTTCAATTGCAAGGTCTGGAAAAGTAGGAAAAATTACAAAGTAGGAAATTCGTTCAAATATACTAACATTGATGACATTGACATTCGAATGTCGGTTACAGAATTAATTAGCTGCGAAAAAACGTTGGAAAATACGCGGAGACTCACCAGCCAAAACCTTTTCCGCGGTTCTTGGAACGTTTCTTTGATAGTCGTGTTGCAATCATCGTCCATGCTCTATCTCGAATTGTTAAAAAAAGTTGAGATTTTACGAGCAATCCGACCGTACTGCACACGCCGTATTTGATTTCACCGCAAGCGGTTGTCAAACGACACTCGTCGCGACATCTTTCGGTGTCAACCGACAAGTTGTTCGTGTTCTCTCGTTCTCTCTAGTAAATATGGAATAACATGCTTTTTTATGTAATCTTCGCGTGTATTGTTATTGGGGTATTAATCAGGTAGGAATCGGTCTGTCACTTTCGATCGATGTTTCGTCTATATAAGTGATTTTTTTTTAAATATATACGATATATATCCTTACTTTTAAGTAACGATCTCTGAGAAGATATTGAAGATTATCAGCATTAATTATGAATACCAATATTATGTATGTATTAGTTTTTTATTAGTTTTTTTTAAAAACGTATTCTTTTTTATATTTTGATATATATGTTACATTAGATTTTATATATATATATAATCGCGAAATATGAAAATATCGGAGAAAATATAAGCTTAGATTACATGTAGAAAAAATTAGGTTAGAGAAACACAATAAGTGGACACTTAATATTCTCTTTATATTATAAATTTAAATTATTAAATATAAAATATTAAAAAAAGGGAATATTTTTCAGAATGAATAATGCACCAATTGATATGGGAACTAAAAAGAAGAATAAGAAACATCAGCTTGTTCCAAATACCGAACGTAAAGCGTCTGGATGTAATTGGGAGATGTACAAGAACTTGTTTTCCCAGCCAAACACAGAAGAAGGTCATGCTCCACAGAATAAGCGTCTAAAATCTAAAAGAACACATACTACTTTACATACAGTAAGTATCATTGTATACTTAAAGTATTACATGGATATGTATATGTATTCTTAATAAATATACGTCTTAATATATCAATTGTAGAATCGACAGGAGGAGAATATTAAACATAATGATGTCAAGAATAATAAGCATAATGATATCAAGAATAAAGAAAATAAAACTATGACAAAACAGATTGCCATAGATTGCGAGATGGTTGGAATTGGCGATGGCACAGAGAGCATGCTAGCCCGAATATCAATTGTAAATAAGCATGGTGATTGCATATATGACAAATATGTTAAACCAAGGGAAAAAGTTGTAGATTATAGAACAGCAGTCAGTGGAATCCGACCAGAACAATTGCGAGATGGGGAAGACTTTAACATTGTACAGAAGGAAGTAGCGGATATATTGAAAGGTCGGCTTCTGGTAGGTCATGCATTGAAGCATGACCTTAATGTATTGTTCTTGTCGCATCCACGAAGATATTGGCGAGACACCTCGAGATACAAACCTTTTCGTCAAATATCGAAGGGAAATACCCCCAGTCTGAAAAAACTTGCACATGAATTGTTAGGTAGAGAGATACAGATAGGTGAACACAGTTCTGTAGAAGACGCGAGAGCAGCAATGCAGTTGTATATGTTGTATAAGAATAAATGGGAATCAGAGAGAAAGGGACGCTGATGAGTAATCCTCCATAAAAAGAACTTTTATCACGAAATACTTTCTCATTGAACGATAAGAGAATTTTGTACAAAATCTGGAAACTCAATGTAATTTTTATTTACATTTATTTAATTATTATTGATTACAAAAACTATAAAATATCTTTATAAGTTAAGGGAATACATACTTTTGTTTTATATACATATATATATATATATATATATATATATATATGTGTATGTATAATTTGTATAATAATAAATTGTATTCTAGATAAAATATGAAAAATGCACATATTTTTTACTATATAAAATATAGTACTGTATATATATAATTCCATATTGCATATATATGATTTCAATTATTGCCTTATTGATGTTTTTCTTTCAGATATACTAATCTTTTTAAATTATATAAAACTAAATATAAAAAGTACCATAATAATAATATTCATGGAGTAAAGCGGACATATAAAAAAGCTTATAAATCGAACTTTATATTTATTAAGTTTATTCGATAAACACGTAGAACGATGACCTTGTTATCATTATCAGCATTTCTCCTTCTCTTAATACGATCACTTTAACGAACTCCGTTTGGTCATTTTAAGTTCAACTGTGATACATACATTACTCATTCTATTGGATTCCATTGGTGCGAATACTTTGTGATTTTTCATTTGCTCGAGTAAAGCGTAATTGTATTGTATTTTATCGAAAATTAATTTTCAATTTGATTAATATTGTGATATCTTATCTCTTATCTCGTCTTATCGAATTTAATTGAATGTATGTTATTTATATGTACATGTATGTGAAACATTTATTTCTAACATATCTAATGTGTTTATATTCAGTCTGAGAGCAACTTCTAACAATTAAGTGTAGGAAGTTTTAAACTTAAGAGATTTAAATTTAATAAAATATATGAATATATTTTTATACACTTTTATATACATTAGGATAAAAGAAGATGAATAAATGCTCGATTTTAGAATCTGTCGTATCTAATGTATGTGCATCTGGAATTCGTGAGAAGCTCTTGTCAGAGCTGCAGTGAGTCGTTGCAACCTAACTGCGATTTTAACAAGAAAAGTTGCATGATTTAATTATTGCGGATCATGCAATTTCAAACAAAAGATAGTTATATATTAAAGTGTGATCTCTTTCGCATCTACACATCTCGTTTAAATTATACTATCATATCAATTTTTAGATCAATTAGCAATAATATTCCAATTAAAATAACAAAGATAAGGCTTCTCACGAATTAAATCGCGAGTAAACAGATAACTTTTATCATTCTCAGCCATTATTGAAATTATCTTTCTGCGATACAAATAATACAGAAATATTAATATTTAATATTAGTATAATTTTAGATTAGATATATATTAATTTTATATAATTTTTATATATTAAAAAAATTATATTCCGATTGGCTAAGATATGATATAAGTATATAATAAAAAGAGTAAATATGGCAAGTCATAAGTCTTGTATTATGAAATAAATATTATAAAGTGCTTTGTTTGCTACGAAATAATTTGTCGGTCATTTTCGCTGAAGGTGTTCTGCTTGCGTTCTGTGAAACTTAATCATGAAAATCGCTGTAATCGGTGCCGGAGCCGCGGGACTTGCTGCGCTTCGTCAATGCACTTCCGGTAATTACGACGACGAAGTGGTGTGTTACGAAAAAACAGACCAAATCGGCGGGACATGGGTCTATCGAGAGGAAACTGGTTCCGATAGATACGGGTTACCGATTCACACTAGCATGTACAAAAACCTCAGGTATGAATCACTTCATCGCAAGCAATTTTCATTTTTTATTTTAAGACAATTTTCAGTTCTGCACAGGAAGCGAATTTTGAAAATTTTACAAGTTCATCTTATTAATATATTATTAATATATTATTAATATTTTATTATTATATAGAAATTTTTTTATTATTAATCTCATCTATAATAATAAATTTTACAATTTAAAAATTTTCATATTTATATGTATTGTACATAAATATTTAAGTATACACATTGTGGATTATACGATTTGATTTATGAAAATTGCTATATCGCTTATAGGACTAATCTGCCAAAGGAAGTAATGGGCTATCCAGATTTTTCAATACCGAAAAAATCCGAAAGCTACTTGTCGCGTACGGAGATACTGGATTTTCTAAACGCATATTGCGATCATTTTGCACTACATCCTTACATTCGAGTAGGTATATAAAACTGGATTAATTATGCAGCAGCGCAAAGTCGTGTTTATATCAAATACATATGTTTATTTAATGTGAATTACAACTAAACATTAATTTATGTAAATATATTATTATTATTAAGGATGTTTTGTACCTATTTTCAAAATATTGAGAATTTAATGAAAATTGTACAGAATATCCTTACATATGTTTAAAATCTTCAGTACAATTTTTAAATCGATTCACTAAAGCGTTCACAAGTTATAAGGATTTTAATTTGCACCGAATTAACATGTGTTTTTATAGGAAACGTATAACCACGTCGATTCAAATGACAAAGACACATGGAAATAATATTCAGAATTTGTTTAAAATTTGCAAAAGTTTAGATACAGAGGAAATATTTGGTCAAGTAATATTATACAAATACTAACTGTTTAAAAAGATATTAAATATAATTCAATGAAGTTAGCCATGTATCTGTCGCAAGGCGAAATTCTCTGCCAAAAGTTAATCATTTCGATTAACAAAATTTGGGATATTCAGTAAAAACGCAATAAATAAAAATACATCTCTGCACTGTAGCTAATTGTAAGATCAAATTGTAATATTCCACACAATTTCTCATACTCAAAATACACCAAAAGTGGATATTCGTCAATATTTATTTTTAGCTACTTTTTGCTGGGATTGTACATACAAAACATTCTTAAGACACAAATAAAATTATTGATCGAAAACAATTCGTTGCAAATATTCGTTGCAAATTAACAAAACAGATCAAATTTTGTTATAAATATTTTATGTTGCAGCTGCTACATCATGTGGAACTGGTGGAACCGGCCTTAGGAGATCGGAAGTGGTCGGTCAAGGTCAGGGATTTACAGAGGGACGCGGTCGTGACCGAGGGATTTGACGCAATCATGGTGTGCAACGGTCATTATTTCGAGCCCAGTATCCCGGAGATATCAGGTCACGATATTTTCGCGGGCAAACAGATGCATAGTCACGATTACCGGATTCCCGAGATCTTCGACGGCAAGACTGTCGTCGTTTTGGGAGCTGGTCCTTCCGGTACACATATACATTATACACGAAATAGTTTGCTTATTTCTTTAATACAAACTTTCTCAATTTTTTTTTCGCATTTCGTATGATTATCAATAGAATTGCGACAATAATCACGAAGAAACGTTTTTTTTCTGATGATTTTATTTTCTCCTAGCTTTATTAAAATTCTAAATAATGTAATAAATGAAGATTATGTATATTAAATATTTAGTTTTTATCTATAAAATGTTTGGATAAAAAATCTTGATGAAATTCATCTTGATGAAATTATTTGCGACAATTAAAATGCGATGTTTTCCTGTTCTCCGATTCAGGTATGGATTTGGCATTGGAAATATCCAAGAACGCGAATCGCGTGATTTTGAGTCATCACTTACGCGAGACTATATGCACCGTATTCCCTGAGAATGTCGTACAGGTGAAAGCGTCACGCGAGCTCAAAAGGAAAATAGTAAAATGAAATAAAGGAAGATTCTTCTTAATCGCTTTATCTCTTTTTTAGAAACCTGATTTGATGCAATTAACGGAGCGGGATGCGATTTTTTCGGATCAAACAAAAGAGCAGGTCGATGTCGTTTTCTACTGTACAGGTACAATTTTTTTCATTACATAAGTTCTTACGGAATCGTACATTGTTCTCATACAAGATGAATTAAAATACAATATTCTTTTTTCTTTCGGCAGGATATAAATACAGTTTCCCTTTCCTTGCCGAATCCTGTGGAGTTTGGGTGGATTCCAATATGGTCAAACCTCTTTGGAAACATCTGGTGTCCATAGAGAACCCGACCTTGGCACTGGTGGGTCTTCCGTACTACGTTTGCGCCTTCAGTATGTTCGATTTGCAGGTATAAAATATTCTTTTATATCTTTTCTTGATCTACAATTTAAAATCTCTCTCGTGAGATTTTTTAAATTTCATTTCTAATTTCTATTATACAAGGTGTTTCAGACCACCCGTACCACCCATTTAAAAACTAGAGAAGTGCTTATTTCAAAAAAGTAAAAACATTTTCTTTATAAATCGGGTACGCTCGAATGGTGATATTTTCAACTTCTGGTTCCGGTCGGAAATAGGCGATTCAGACCGAAAGTGCATTTTTTTAAATAGAACCCCCTATTTTTCATTGCATATTCTTGTAGCTTATCTCGAGAGCTTTCCCAAACACTATAATAAATTATTTTTCCATGAAGTACTTTTCCAGTTATGAGGCTTGAAATCATTTCTTAACTTCCGTTTAAAAAAATGCACTTCTGGTCTGAATCGCCTATTTCCGGCCGGAACCAGAAGTTGAAAAAATCACCATTCAATAGAGCGCACCCGATTTATAAAGAAAATGTTTTTACTTTTTTGAAATAACCACTTCTCTAGTTTTTAAATGGATGGTGCGGATGGTCTGAAACATCCAGTATACATTAAATACTTTAGTACTTTTTAAAACGTACTTTATAATATTTTAAGTCGGTATTTGAAAGTATATCGGACATGTACGAGAAACATAGAAGAGAATCGCGTGTAATCCATTTGACTGGTAGCATTCCAAGCGCACAGGTCATTCGGGGCGTATGAAATTGCCTTTTTCAGCGTGGCTGACGAAGAAACGCGGTCGCACATTCGCGACAGAAAAATACTAGAAAGCCACGGTCGCGTGGTCGCCGACCGCGGTAACATGATGGCAATACTCACGATTACTTGCAATTTCAAGGTGCGATTCGTCCTACGACACTGGCACGGCGAGAGGCAGTTTCCCGAGAAAGAGGATATGCTGAAGTCCGAGACCGAGGAAGCGACGACACGAATCTTTAAGAAGCATTTGCAGAAGAGACACTTTCACATGATGGGTCCGGAGCAAGGTCAATATTACGCTGACCTGGCGAACATCGCGGGTATCACGCCTTTACCGCCCGTGCTGACGAAACTCCACAATAAGAGTAGCAAGCGCTTCCTGGACGACTTGGTGCACTATCGGGAGGACCGCTACACGATCATCAACGACTACAAATTCCTTCAGAATTAATTTCTATTTTAGCTTTAGAGCGACAGAAACAGTCATTTATATATGATAATTAGATATTTTTTCAATCTGTGACAGTTATACATTTTTTTTTTAATTTGTACAATTTATGGAAAAATAATATTCATGTTTGTCATTGCTTACGAAATTTTTTTTATGTTTGAAAGTGCTTTTCTGAGCGTGAACTCTGTGTTATTTCAATTACTTCTCTCTAGATAATTAGGATGATTATTTCTAAGAATGAAGGGCTAAAGGAATTTTCTTGCAAATGATATAAAGCATGCTCGGCGTCTTAATTAAATGCCTTAACGCGTACAATTGCACGAATATCTAGACACAATGAAGAATAATGTAGAACATGAAACTGATAATAACATCATTATGACGTCACCTAAAAGTCATTTTAGAAAAATCATAATGATCTCATTTGATATACTTTTGGCAATGTTTTGGTGACTTATTTTTGATATTAAACAATTCTAGCGAACTCTGTTGGAGAATATATATGCTTCGCGTATGAAATCTTAAGAATCAATCATACTTTTTATATATATTACGCAATTACTTGTTTATTTAATTATTCATGTATATTTTAATTATATTTAAGCAACATAATCTTTTTCAAATTATATAATGCGATTATTGAACTTAAAAATTTATGATTCTTTTTGTCATCTTTAACTCATTTTTGTTTTTATCAATGTTAATCAATTTTGATTTTAGTAACCTTTAAGTGATAAATAAAATCATGATGACGTCATAATGATGTCATAATGAGTTTCATGTTCTACCTGGACCGGCGAACTTGACGCGCGGATCCTGCGCGCCGGATTCAAATTTCCCGCGACGGCGCGGTCACGTGACTCCGATCGCGCGGTCACGTGACTCCGATCGGCGCAGCGGCGACGTACGGCAGTCGGTTAAATGTCTCGTCCGCACGAACATACATCTGTCGTGCGAGCGAGCGGCCGTGGTCCGTGTTCGTGGTCCTCGTGTAGTCGATGTTGCACGAGCGAGTTGTGCGCGCGCGTTCTCTCCTCCTCTCTCTCTACCTGTCATCACGAGCGACCGCGCTATTCATCGGCCGATGGGACGATGAGAGTTTACGCGATCCGCGAGTGATTCAGTGGCCCACGGATATCACCTGCCCGATGTCTGTCCGCATCGCCGCTGGAACCATGACGGTTACGTGTGCTGGCGAACGCATTATCGTGCAAGAAGCGCAGCGTGAGTAGCCAATTCCCGTCCCTTCGCGAGAGAAAACGGAGAAAAAGCTCACCTCCCATCTTCCTTTCTCTCTCTCTCTCTCGTTCTCTCTTTCTCTCTCTCTCTCGTTCTCTCTTTCTCTCTCTCTCTCTCTCTTTCTCTCTCTTCGTGACAGACACCCAGCCATCTCTCTCCCGACGATCCGCCGCCGATGCATCGCCTTGTGGCCAGTAACGGCCACTCGAGCGCGATCTCGCATCCCGAATCCCGAGTGCGAGTCGAGGGGGAAAAACGCGAGATCGCGTGCCATTGTTTCCGCCGTTCGGATCGTGCATGTGCCTGGCCACGTCGATGCGGGACTCGCGGGTGTATCATGAGGAGGAGAGGACGAAGGAGTGAGCGAGAAAGAGAGAGAGAGAGAGAGAGAGAGCGAAGCCGCCACCTCCCGCGTAGCATTATTTACGTTACGTGCGGCTAGAAAGCTGCATCGAGTCTTTTTTCCTTCCTTTGCACATCTTCCGTTTTCTCTCGTCTTCTCCTCTCTTTTTTTTTCTCTCTCTCTGGAAGGAGTCACGAAGGAGCGAGGCCACGCGCTCGCTTCGCTCTGAATCTGAATGCGAGGAGAGCTCGGGAGAACGCGAGCTGAAACGAATACCGGACGAGTGCCCCGATTAGATCAATCTCGCGTATGTACGCTTCGTTTTTTTTTTGTTTTTTTTCCCTTCTCCTTTCCCCTTCCATCTTTGCTCGAAATGTAGAAAGTACGGGAAAATGCTCCGAGACGAATGGACCTGATGACGCGCGTCATATGTGAACGGCACGTCGCACGCGCCGCGCACGGGTGAATGCATTCGTAAGAATGTCGTGCCCCGCGTGCGTGTTTTACCCTCTCCCTCCCTCCTTCCCTCCCTCTTTTTGCTCCTGTCTCACCTCCGCGATCTCTCGCGGTGGCGTTCCTCTTACCTCGCTTTATGTAATTGCGCTCGCGGACACCTGTCCGTCTGGACGCGCGTCGAGCCGTTCAACGAGATTGCACGCGAAAAAAAATGCAAGGAGTCCGATTGGAGACGGATTCGTTCGTTTCGATCCTCTGCATTCTTCTATTTTTTCCCTTCCCCTTTTTCAATCGGTGGCGCGATTCAAATCGCAGCGAACGTAGGAATTCATAGTCTAGATCTTATATTTATTGTTCTAAGTTTGGTCTTAGATCATCTTAAGATTCTGTTCAGCTAATGAAATAGTCGTATATTTTCAAACCTTACTTAAGGGTGTTTTGTACAATCCCAGCAAAAAGTAGCAGAAAATCAATATTGACGAATATCCACTTTTGGTGTATTTTGAGTATGAGAAAGTGTATGGAATATTACTGTTTGATCTTAGCTACAGCGCAGAGATGTATTTTTTAGTATTCATTGCGTTTTTACTGAAATATTCCGAATTTTGTTAAGGATGTTTTGTATCTATTTTCAAAATCTTCAGTACAATTTTTAAATTGATTCACTAAAGCGTTCACAAGTTATAAGGATTTTAATTTGCCGAATTAACATGTGTTCTTATGGGAAACGTATAACCACGTCGATTGAAATGACAAAAAACACATGGAAATAATATTCAGAATTTGTTTACAATTTGCAAAAGTGTAGTTTAGATACAGAGTAAATATTTGGTCAAGTAATATTACACAAGTACTAACTGGTCAATAAGATATTGAATATAATTCAATGACGTTAGCCATGTATCTGTCACAAGACGAAAGTCTCTGCCAAAAGTTAATCATTTCGATAAGGATTTTGTATTAGTGAATCGATTTAAAAATTGTACTGAAGATTCTAAACATATGTAAGGACATTCTGTACAATTTTCATTAAATTCTCAATATTTTGAAAATAGCTACAAAACATCCTTAAGATGATCTTAAATATAAAAACGGACTATGAATACCGGCCATAGAGGCGAGTTATATTATCGAGGACGCGATTAGAATTCAATTAAATTGGTTCATTTCAATGACTTTTCTTTTTCCGCTTCTGTTTCGATGTTGTCAGAACCAACCCGGCGAGCGAGGATCACCGTCCGTGACGCTCGCAACGTGATACATGCACGGTACTGCCTTGTAACGAGTCTCTTTTTAATTAAGCGACGCGTCAGACGATTGTTGTATTTTTTGTGTAGCTATATGAGCGCGATTACTGCGTAGAGAATATGACAGTGTAGATTTATTGCAAGAAAATGTGTTTTCCTTCTCCTCGATAACAACTTGGACGAACGTTGATAAATCCGGGTTTGAAGAATACATTTGACATTTAATTTGACAGAATCTTTCCGTAAATTTAATAATTGTAAGGCAAGTTCCGCGTGAGATATTATTGATATTTCTTTATCAATGTCTACATCAACATTTATTCACAATTCTTATTCAGGATTGTAAGATAAACCAGAGATTTCGAGATGGCTACCAAAACTGACGACGCAGCGTCTATCGACAATCCTAATGATGGTACGGTAATTGTTTTCGAAATACGTATATAGAGAAAAATGTATACTGTATTCAAGTAAATATTATTTATTTTAAGTATATCATAAGTTTGCATATCCGCAAATATATCATAAGTTTATCACAAGCATTAAATTTAATTAAATATATTCTGAATGTTAATAACTGCAGTATTTTAGTCAAGAATATTAAATTAAAATAAAAATTTGGTTTGCTTACCACATAAAGTAAGTTTGATTTTTCTTTGATATAACTTTACAATATTCTTGAAAAGAAAATAAATTCTTCTTTTGAAAACAACTTTAACAATATTCTTGAAGAGAAAATAAATTTTTCTTTTGAAATAATAATGAGATTTTCTAACACTTGTGATGAGTATATTTTAAGACTATTATCAAGAATATATTCTTTGTTGAAGAAAATTATTACTTAAAAAAAGAAAAATAAACTGAGTAATCGTTTTTCTTGGCAGTAGAATGATATTTTTCTCTGTGTAATGCAAGTACCTAATGTAATTGCAAAACTTTTCACGCGTGTATTTCACTATGTTAAAGGAGAGAGCCTCGATAAAGAAATATTGACGATCGGTGAAAACGATGGGGGAAGAATTCCACCGACGTATTTGTATAATACGGGCTCGGAACAAAGTACAGGAACTTCCGACCAAGAACAAACCGTTCGGAATCGTACTCCATCCAAGGAGGATCAATTAGGTCCGTTACCGACTAATTGGGAGAAGGCGTACACGGATACGGGAGAAGTTTATTTTATAGAGTACGTATACATATTTATATATACATGCAGTGCCATTATATACTTTACATTATATAGATAATAAGAAGATTAAAAAATGAGTAATTCGTATAAATCATCTTGATAAACTCTGCTCACTTCGTGTATCAATTGTATTAATACTGATAAGAATTATATTATACATATAAATATTACACACATATCTCATTAATATAATAACGGTATATAAATTTCTATTCAAAAACATGCTCATGTGCGTGCAATATATTTAGCATTGTCTTTTATTTATTATTATTTATTTAATTATTTTTGTTCTAAATAAAATATAAAAATATTTTCATAAATTATATCACAGCCACAATACGGGCACATCTCACTGGTTAGATCCACGTCTGTCGAAATTTCAAAAGAGATCTCTGGAAGAATGTCTCGACGACGAATTACCCTACGGTTGGGAAAAGATCGACGATACACTATACGGTACATATTTTATCGATCACGTGAATCGTAGGACACAATATGAAAATCCAGTGTTGCAAGCGAAGAGAGCGCAACAAAACTTGCTCGAGAGGAAGAGTCCCAACTTCACCAGAAATCCCGATAAACTCAAAGGTCAGAGGATACGAACTGCCTTGATAAAAAGTTCACGGGGCTTGGGATTTACCATTGTCGGCGGTGATGACACCGTGGAAGAATTCTTGCAAATTAAAAGCGTCGTGCCAAATGGTCCAGCATGGCTGGATGGGAAACTACAAACCGGTAATTTTTTTCTCTAGATACCGCTAAATTTCTCAAGCGATTCACTTCCGCTTCCGTACTTTGTAATTGTACTTACTATTTCAGGAGACGTGTTAGTGTATGTTAATGATACCTGCGTGCTAGGATTTACCCATAACGAAATGGTGAATGTATTCAAATCAATCGGTAGTGGCGAGACAGTAAGTTTGGAAGTGTGTCGAGGTTATCCGTTGCCTTTCGACCCCAACGATCCTAATACAGAGGTTGTAACGACGATCGCTGTCAATGCGCCAGGTAAAGAAATAGTTGAGAGTAGTTAATAGATCTTTTCATTGAAGAATTAGATACTATTATCTCGGATCTTTTCTTTTGACAGAAGATCCTGCGATGTATATGGACTTAAACTCGTCTCTTCAGGACAATGGGCGTTTCAATTTTTTGGACTCCACATTCTTGCCGGTGCACAATCTTCAAAACGGCGAGAATCTTGCCACAACGTCGGTCAATTCGATGCCCGATCTCTGCATTTCCGATAAAATCAACACGATTAAAAGACCGAGCAGCACGGATATTCTGCTATCGGAGAGCAGCGATTTGAACGACTGTAAAAACTCGCCGGTGTCTTCCAAGCCGGAATTTCTCAGTATCGCTATTGTGAAGGGGGCCATGGGATTTGGATTTACGATAGCAGACTCTGCCCACGGCCAGAAAGTCAAGAAGATCTTGGATCGTCAACGTTGCAAGAATTTAATGGAGGGCGATATATTGGTTAATATAAATGAAATCAATGTCAGAAATATGTGTCACTCGGAAGTGGTACAAGTACTGAAGGATTGTCCACGTAACGAAGAGGCGTTGATACATGTACAGCGAACGACAGCGAAATCGACGAAAGAGAAGAAGGAGAAGAATATGCAGGACTTTTTCAGAAGTAAAACACCCACCGCAGATATCTATAGCACTCAATCGAAAACGATAATACCTAGTAGACCAAAAACGCCACTGATCGACACCAGAAATCATCCTAAATCACCGACTGATGCGAGCAGATCAAACTGGAACGACGTACAGGCAGAAAACGAATTGAATCCGCTGGATAATCACTATAAATATGCCGATTATTCACACGGAATGTATTATTCGGATCCGTATAAAGCTAATATCACAGCGAATTTGTCGGATAATTTTGCAGTGATGAATCTCGACGACGATTCTATTAGAAATGTATCGAAACGCGATTGGGTTGCGAATGACAAATTAAATATCAACAATGATGTGTATTCCATCGACATCTCCCATCATGACAATATGCTCAAGCAAAATGGATATTTGCATTCCGATTACTATAAAGACGTCTATCCCGTTCAATCGCATTCCCAGTACAATGAAGATTATAGTATGTATTCCATTGGACAGGAGCAAAATGTTGATACCGGCGAAATCTGGGATAAGAGAAAAGAAACGACTAGTTTCGAACACGAACAGCCGCATTCTAGTTCTATATCTCGGTACGTATATTGTTTTATTAATTAACAATCAAACTTTCAAAGAATTTTACTTAAACCAGAATCGTGCGCGTTTTCCAAAGCATTCGAAAAATAATATCATAATCAATTAGATAGATAAAATATATGTTTGAAAATTCTTATATATTTGCACTAGATAGATAAAAATAAATAAAAATTATTTATTAAAATCATTCGTAATATTAATTATAGGTATCCTCAATATACAAACGAATTGGTTTGTCCAATGGTTCCCGACATAGAATGGATAGAAACTCTGGTGACTTTGGTCAGACAAGATACTGGATTTGGATTCAGAATAGTGGGTGGCACAGAAGAAGGATCTCAGGTTGGTTTTTTAATGTGATTAATATTAATTCTTATGAATGTTTTTTTCAAAATCCTATTTTCATGTATTGCGAAATCAAGCCATCGCAGCACTAATGAAAACAGAAACGTTAAAAATATCACGGTCAGCAGGTTTCGGTGGGTCATATAGTTCCCGGTGGAGCGGCGGATCTTGATAGTAGACTCAATACTGGCGATCTGATTATGTCCGTCGACGGAGAAAGTGTCATGAATTCTTCTCATCATCATGTGGTGCAGTTAATGATAGCAGCAGCGCAAAATGGACGAGTGACTCTAGGAATACGACGTCGAATCAACACGCAAGAACACCTTCAGGAGAACCTTCAATCCTCTTACAGCCGGCAAATGAATCTTCAATATCCATATGATGTTACTGTCACTCGAATGGAGAACGAAGGATTCGGTTTCGTGATAATCTCGTCCGTCAACAAGGCCGGTTCTACAATCGGCAGGATAATTGAAGGTTCACCCGCTGAAAGATGCGGAAGATTAAATGTCGGAGATCATATTCTTGCTGTCAATCACATCGATATCACAAACGTTTGCCATAAGGACATTGTCAATTTAATCAAAGATTCTGGTTATTCTGTCACATTGACAATTGGATATCCACTTGACGATTGTTGCAGCAATACATCTCTTTCTCAAAAGGTACAAGCTTTATTGATTTGATCAAACTATAACGAACGTAAAGAATAATTTCTTTATTATTAATTATTTAATTTCTTTATTATTCACCATGATAATAGAGTAACCATAGATTGTTGATTTTTTTTCAGGATGAACTTACCGGAGACGGAGATGGCGGCCAATACCATGCTGTAGAGCTTACTCGGGGTACCCGAGGTTTTGGTTTCAGCATACGCGGTGGTCGCGAGTTTCAAAATATGCCGTTATTTGTCTTGCAAATCGCTGAGAACGGACCAGCGTCTATTGATAATCGGCTTAGAGTAAGTAATATCGCGGTATATATTTAGAAATATATTATAAATGTGATGTAAATATGACGTTATATAAACAAATCTATATATCATTCCTAGATTGGAGATCAGATAATCGAGATAAACGGTATTAATACGAAAAACATGACACATACAGAAGCGATTGAGATTATACGTAATGGTGGACCATCTGTTCGTCTGTTAGTACGACGTGGCTGCCAAATGCCTTCAGTGGTAGGTGCTCCTCCACATCTCTACGATATGAACATATAGACAATTAACCTTTTGATAATAACATATATATTAATTTTAACTTAATGATATTTTTCCCCTCTTTTGACAATACTAATGCTAACATTAGTATTATATAGAATTTTTTTGATGATCTGAAAGATGACAGAAAGTTTCAGGGTATATAACATTATTAGATATGCTAAGTGAAAAAAAAATGAAAGACAATACAAGAAAAAAAGAGTCTCGGATAGGCAATTACGTTGTAATAATTTAATATTGTGAAAATACGTTTGATATCGATATATTAATAAGATGGATGTGTTATATCACATAAGACACAGTCTCATGCGATTTCAATAGATACAAAATATGGTATACATTATTTGTAAAAATTATACATATAATTCATTTTGCAATTAATGTATGTTGTATGTTTTTTTCTTGTTTTCAATGATGTTTAGTCATGAACTTAAATGTACCGTAAATTTTTATTATAAAATAATTCACTTGATTTTGTTTAAAAATAGCATTAAACTAAACACCAAATGATGATAATTCAAAAAATAATAAGTAACGATAAAAAGTTTTTACTTTAATTATTATGCTCATCAAAAAATGTTCTCTAATGAGAAAGAAAGATCATATTTGACAAGGGACACACACAGATGACTTTTTTTCTTGCAGCTATCATTATGCAGCTTGCGAAAGTTTTAATATAAGGACAATCGTACTTGCTCATCCTAACAAAATTAGGCTGGTGCTAACCTAGTTTCTCTTTATTGATCTAATTGCAAAAATTCATCCTAACATGTGTGATAGCTTTGAAAGTATTGTGCCTTGTTATACGTGTGTTCCGTATTTAATGAAAATTACTAAGCAAATGTCACAGCCTTCAAAAGTGATTATAAACGTACATTGAAATTCATTATAGAGTAATCTCACAATCGACCAAATAAGTATTCGACCGAACGATGAGGGCAAGCATTTATCGAAATTACCCAAGAGGGGTGTGCCCCCCAAAAAACGTCAGAAAGTTCGATTTTCCATTTCATTGAACTGCTGTTCATCCAAAAATAGATACTCGTAAGCGCTTTTAGACGTATCTTTACATCTCTCGCGAATTGTATAAGTTAATATTTCATAAGAGATTAAAATTATTTTACGAAAATAATAATCCAGCAATCCCTTTAAAATGCATTTATTCGGCTTTTAAAGCGTAGACTGCTGTAATTTTTTTTAAAGGAAAACAAATTATTAATTTATAAAAAAATGTGAATATAGTGTAAATCATCAAATGATTTATACTGGCATATAGAGATGTATTGAAAATGGCACAGTGTGTAAAGTGTCAAGAATATAAAGTTGCAAGTGCTATCTATTTATTAATGCAAGTATAGCATTGATATATATAAAGAATCTCAGAATACAATATGTTATATTATGTAGAGACACAAAGGACAGCTGTATATTCATATGCTGTCGAGGTGATATTGTAGACTGGTAATTATATACATATATATAAATTTATTATCTGCTCTTCTCAATAATGTTTCAAAGTATAAGCTTTTAAAACTTAGACTCCTATCGTAAACACCATTTTGTGAATTTTTTTTAATATAGTGACATGTGTGGCCTTGATAAAATGTTACGCTTTTTAAAAAAAGTATACAAAAAAAATTAACAATCATTTAATTATTCTTATTTGACTATTCTATTGTTTTGAATTACTATCAAGATTTTAAAATTGTATCGATATCTTGTTTTTCCTTTTCCTAAATATTTATTACCACTTTTATGAAATGTATATGTATGTCAATAATTAAAATTAAGGACTCGTACAACCAAAGAAGCACTTATGAGCCATTTTGTTTTGAAGTACAGTGTGTGATGGGAGATCAATATGAAAGAATTATTATAATTATTTAATCAATCTTCTCTTTTTCGGGAATGTTAGTCTTTTACCCGATTAAAAGGATGACTTTCCATAATTAGAAAACGACGAACGGAGCAAAATTTTAACGGAGAACAAATTTAACAAGATTCTTCTTTACTCTTCCTGCCTTTTTTTGATATTTATAAAAGTTACATGTTATAAAAGAGAACAACATATATATTTTTTTACTTGTAAAGTAATGAGAGATGGCAGATGTTTGGCACGATGTATTAATGAGACAAAAAAGGGAAAGGTAAACACTAGATTATATTTCTAGATCTCAGGATTGGTGTAAGAAAGAAAAGAATGCGTATTATACGTATGTATATATGTATGTATATATCATATACACATATATATGTATGTATGTTTATAGATGTGTGGGAATTTGTTTATATTATTATTATATATATAATATCTAAACGAAGAATTCAACAATGTATAAGTGATAAGCAACAGCAAACGCATTTAATCGGATTATATAGTATCCATTTTATATATAGATATATAATCATCGCGTTTATTTTTTATAATTATATATACATATATATAAAATATTTGTATAGCATATAGGATATAATAAGTTTAATATAAATGTGTATATACTTGTTTTTCGAAGACTCTAAAGGATAATGTTGATAATTTATAAGGTTACTGTAAGAAGCAATAACGCATCAATCATCGGTTTACTTATTTGAAATTTATTTGTCGAAAAATCCGAGTCTTCTTTACTATTCGTTTTAGCTTTACTCTTGCCAAAACTGCAAGTTATACTTTTCGCATTTTCTAACGTAATATATTATGAGTTAGGCTATTTCTCGCAAATATATGCATGATGAACGATTCAGGATTAATTGGAAAAAAATGATTCTATGAACATTGTTTATCTATTGTTTCGAGTAGTAAAGATAGCAGCAATCATTAAATTTCAATCACACTTACATAAAAAATATTTTATATGTACATTATTGATATAATAAGTGAATTGGATCGAACAATTTTTTTGTACGAGCTTCGTATATTTATTGTATAATTCACAGATGTAAACCGAATTTTCTCTGTATATGTCCGTTATATCTTTAATAATCGTCGTTGAGTAATCCGAAATAAAAACTGATATTGTTGCTAAGTGAGTATATTATACTATCAATTATATATATATTGTTGTTGAAATATACTGAAATAATAAATGCTACTTTAAAAAATTTCAAGGAAATTACCGAAAACATATTTATATTTTTATCAGAGTTCATTTAAGAATCCTTAAATATCTAACATTGAATTTTCACAATATGTAGGATAAAACACACTGAATCTTTATAATTTACATTATACAATTAATAAAATCATGGAATATTCTTATGCGAGATATTATAATTATATATAGATATTTTTTTATTAAATGTTACCAGTAATAAATTTGACAAAAATCAAGTACTTCATATTTTATCGCTCGTTCTATCAAGATTAAAGTGAAAAATCAAGAAAACTTTACATTATACATTAATTGCATTATATAAACTTAATATTAAAAAATCGCATATTTTATATCTGTTGACCTAAGATTAATTTAATATAAAATGAGCGCTTTTTTTGCGTTGTAAAAAAAAATATTCCGATATAAAAAAATGCTACTGTATTACATATATGGTATATGCGCTTTTACGCGAGATGTATCGATATTTTTCTTTGGAAATATAACTTTCGTAGAGTAAAGACAATAACAACAGTTTCCAAAGAAAAATTTATCATAATATCAATTTATTTGGCTTACAATTTTACTAAATATTTCCGCATTCTAAGACGTACTTTCCAGAAGGCGAATAAGGTTATCGAGATAATGTAATTATTTAGGATCAATGATTCTTTGAAAATTCCGCAAGTCCGATCTTTCCCATTAATCACAACCAAGATCAATTATAGCTTTATTAAAACATTGGCAGTACTGTGTCAATCATTGCCACGCATTTTTCGCGAAACGGACGCGTATTTGTCACCCATCATTGTCGATTCCTCGTAAATGATTGTCGCAAAACATTTCTTCAGATACCGATATATTAGTCACGTAATTTTATCACGACCGCTTCGATCAAACTCCAATAATAAGTGAATATCTTTGATTTCTATAAAGTAAAGACAACTTAAGATTAAGGATGTTTTGCATGTACAATCCCAGCAAAAAGTAGCTGAAAATAAATATTGACGAATATCCACTTTTGGTGTATTTTGAGTATGAGAAATTGTGTGGAATATTACAATTTGATCTTACAATTAGCTACAGCGCAGAGATGTATTTTTACAACATTTATTGCGTTTTTACTGAAATATTCCGAATTTTGTTAATCGAAATGATTAACTTTTGGCAAAGAATTTCGCCTTGTGACAGATACATGGCTAACTTTATTAAATTATATTTAATATCTTTTTAACCAGTTAGTACTTGTATAATATTATTTGACCAAATATTTCCTCTGTATCTAAACTTTTGCAAATTTTAAACAAATTCTGAATATTATATCCATGTATTTTTGTCATTTGAATCGACGTGGTTATACGTTTCCCAAAAGAACACATGCTAATTCGGTGCAAATTAAAATCTTTATAACTTGTGAACGCTTTAGTGAATCGATTTAAAAATTGTACTGAAGATTCTAAACATATGTAAGGACATTCTGTACAATTTTCATTAAATTCTCAATATTTTGAAAATAACATAAATTATCTTAATATCGCTAGTCAATTAATCGAAGAATCGTTGGAAATAATCGACCAAAACTAGCCAGAAATTTTTTGTTGTTTATTGATTATGACGTTTCGACCATATGATTATGGTCCTTTTCAAGTAAACAAAATCAAATGACAGATATAAATCATAGTGTTGTAAAATGCACACGTCACGTTTAAATGATCAATTACATCTTAATAAATTTAAAATCGAGAAATAAAAACGATATGTCAGTGTGAGACTTCGTCAATGAATCAACACTATGATTTATATCTGTCATTTGATTTTATTTACTTGAAAAGGACCATAACCATATGGTCGAAACGTCGTAATCAATAAACAATAAAAAATTTCTAGCTAGTTTTGGTCGATTATATTATTTCCAACGATCCTTTGATTTTGAAAATAGATACAAAATATCCTTAATCGAAACGATTAACTTTTGGCAGAAAATTTCATCTTGTGACAGGGATATAACTAACTTCATTATATTTAATATCTTTTTAACCAGTTAGTACTTGTATAATATTACTTGATCAAATATATTTCCTCTGTATCTAAACTTTTGCAAATTTTAAACAACTTCTGAATATTATTTCCATCTGTTTTTGTCATTTGAATCGACGTGGTTATACGTTTCCCAAAAGAACACATGTTAATTCGGTGCAAATTAAAATCAGAACACATGTTAATTCGGTGCAAATTATAACTTGTGAACGCTTTAGTGAATCGATTTAAAAATTGTACTGAAGATTCTAAACATATGTAAGGACATTCTGTATAATTTTCATGAAATTCTCAATATTTTGAAAATAGGTACAAAACATCCTTAAGAATAATTTGGAGAAAAATAGATACAGAGAACATGAAACTGATAATAACATCATTATGACGTCACCTAAAAGTCATTTTAGAAAAATCATAATGATCTCATTTGATATACTTTTGGCAATGTTTGGTGATATATATCTTATTGATATATATCTTATTTTTGATATTAAACAATTCTAGCGAACTCTGTTGGAGAATATATATGCTTCGCGTATGAAATCTTAAGAATCAATCATAATAATACTTTTTATATATATTACGCAATTACTTGTTTATTTAATTATTCATGTATATTTTAATTATATTTAGCAACATAAATTATATTAAGCAACATAATCTTTTTCAAATTATATAATGCGATTATTGAACTTAAAAATTTATGATTCTTTTTGTCATCTTTAACTCATTTTTTAATCATTTTTCTTTAGGTAACTTTTAAGTGATAAAATCATGATGACGTCATAATGATGTCATTATGAGTTTCATGTTCTACCTGGATGGACGAAAAAAATACATCGGTAAATGTGTATTATATTTTTACATCTGAGATTGTGAGATCGAAGCTCTCAAGAAGGAAAGATCTTTTCGAAAAGCCCGCCACTCGAGCGTCACCTGGCGGATAGAGAAAATTCACGCGGTTCCGTTTCCAAGAATGCATCGCTTGACGTTCAACGTGACGTCAGACGTCAGTCGCTCGAGCCGCGCGCAATTACACGGATTTCAGGAAAAGCGCGTTCGCGGCGATCGTTTCGCGTACGTCGAAAAGTGACCGTAAAACGGGGAGCCGTGGTGAACGCGAGAAGGATAATCCGCGTCGTAGGATGGAGGAGTCCGACAGGATCGATTCTACGCGAGTCCTCGCGCGAATCTCGCGAAATGTGATCTCGACGCGCTGACCTCCCCGCCCGCTCACCCCCTCCTCGCCACCCCGTCGGCGCCATCTTCCTTTTGTGCATAGCCGTGTGTCGTCGTCGCTCCCGTCAAGTTTACAACACTGGCGATTGATCGCGCACACATACGCGCCTTCCTCAGAATGCGCCTATCACGCGTACAGTTGTGCCGTACGTGGTTCAGTAAGCGCGATCTTGGCCGAACGTAAACAGAAACATTCTCTGTCGCTCGGGACACCGAGTGGAAGGGCCCTTCGGGCCGCAGTCGTCGGGGCCTAGCGAGATGCGCGCTCGCGTGTGTTAGTGAGATAAACTGCTGGAAAACCGTGTCGCATTCTCGATCCGGATCGGCGCCCGAAGGTGTATGTGTGGGATACTGTAAAGTGCGAACGGCGCTAATCATTGGCCGCCGCTGTAACCCGGCCCGTTCGTATCTCTCTCTCTCTCTCGCTCTCTGTACGGCCGACCTTCCCCGGTCTCTGTTTTTCTCTGCCGCGCGCGACGGCGCTTTCCGTTATCCGGCGGGCGCGTGCAATTGCCTATTCCCGATATATACCCGAGACGGGTTTTCGCGTGCGAATAGCCTACGATTGTGTACAGTCGTGTGTTGGCTCCGGTGGCGATGAGATATCTCGGGAGGAGATCCATAGATGAGCTGCAAGTGTAAGTGACAAACTCTCCGCATCTTTTAGTACGATATTCTCGCGTGACATTTTTACGTATGTGAGAAAACTGAATTGTACAGGGCGCAAATATAGCGATGCCTCCGCGTTCCTCCTCTTTTTATGCCCCTCTTCCTCTCCTCCTCGCGACAGCACGAAACACAATCGTTCGATTATCGTGGATTTTTCGGAGCAGTCAAGTATATCGTTCTCGTCGTCTCGTCTTTCAGGCATGTATATATATGTATGATACGTATTTAAAACGTCTCTCCTATTTAACGCGCTCGCGTGGATTGTTTAGTTTTGCCCCGCTCGTATGTGTGCGTGTGTGTAGATACGTGCTTGCGTGAGTGCGTATCTGCGTTTGAGAAAATGATCTCGCTGTATTTTTGTATACATCATACATATAGGATTATCGCTTCCTCTTGATATTGCAAAAATATTAGATTCTCTAAATGCGTGCATGTAAATGTATATGTACACGGAGGGAAAAATTTTTTTGAATCAAATAAATTTGTTTTCTTGAAACTTTTGCTCTCTAAATGGAAGGAACTGTTTATTTCATTTAAGCAAAAGCATTTAATTTTAATTAAATATACATGTTATATTAAGTACATTATTTTCATTTATATATTTTTTATATTTAAATACTATTTTTGTAAAATATATACTATAATTTATTAAATTAAATATATTATTTTTTTTAATTAAAAAACTTAAAATTTTTAGGAATAAAAAATGCATTTTAATAAATATTTTGTAAAATTAAAATAAAAATATTTGATTGAAAATTATATTTTTTTAAACATATGTAAATAAATACTTAACTTAAGCAAACAGACATTTTAAATAGTAAATACGTGATTAGTACTCACCGAATAAATAGTTTTCTTGAGGTAACTAAAATTTTTTTTATTTCAAGATAATTTTTCCCTCAGTGTATATACATACATATAATATATATACATATATATATATATATATATACACACACATATATACATATAATAATTTTATTTATGTCATGATGATTTATGATGAATTATGATTTATATATTTTATAACGTGATATAATATGTATTATAATATATTTTTTATGATAAATTTCTTTCAAAAAAATAACAAAATAAAAAAAAGAGAAGTTTGCTATTTGAAATTGAATATTGGGTATGATTCAATATCAAATAGCAAGTTTTTCTTTTTTTCTTTTTTTCTTTTTTTTAGAAGAAATTTATCATAATAAAAAATATATTATAATATATATTATATTACGTTATAAAATATATAAATCGTCATAAAATAAATACAATTATTATATATATGTGTGTATATATATAAAATCACGTTATATAAAAATAGTAAGTTTTTCTATTATGTATCTAATCCCTTTGGATTCAGTCTAGATTAAATCCTTCACTATATACGTACATATCTGTTTTGGGTGGGCGTGTGCGTATCTTTTACATTATTGGCCGTTTCTGGTTGTGGTAGATATTTTTTCTTTCTCTCCTTCTCTTTCTCTCTCTCTTTCTTTTTCGCTTGTTTGTAAATAGAAAACCCAGAAGCTTTTTGAGAGTATGTTTGCGGCCCCCTAAAGAGAGTGGCAAACAAATTTCACAATCTTCTGGGATAGAAAAGTATGCACAATGCTGGGTTGCTGAGGTCAATTTTTGACCACGTGTTTTCAAAAAAGAACAAAAAATTTCTTTCTCTGACACAAGGAATTGGACAAGAACAAAAAATGAAAAAAAAAATATCTAGGTCCTGCATTTCATTTTCTTATTTATGTTGTATTTATAAAATTTTATATTGTATGGATGAATTTTTATAGTAATGTGGAAATTTTTTTCTGTATTTGCAAATTTAAAATGACAAAGCGTCAAAAATCACTAGAACATTTTTATAATATTTTCATAAATTCTAAATTTTTCTATAAGAAATTCCTAATACATAAATCGAAAAATATCGCAAATCAAAAATAATTTAGAATATAGAATGTAGAATAATTTAGAAAAAGAATAATACAAAATTTGTTTGTTTTTACTATTTTCAATACTTTTTTTTCTTTTTTTTCTTTTTGTCTAAACCTTTTAAATATTGTTTTAAATATTAATGGAGAAAATGTAACAGAAAGCGACTAAAAATTAACATTTTTTTTTAATGTTAATATTCCTATTTCTTGGCAGATATATAAATATATATTTAAATTTATTAAATATTATAGAAATATAAATTCGCGAATGACCAATTAAATAAGTACGCAATAGAAATAGAATGTTAATTTTTACTTAGACAAAAATAATTTTTGCCTTGAAAAAAATAAGTAAAAAGGAAGATAAGCATTTATAAATAAATATTACATTTCAAATGTATTTTTTTAAAGTATATAAACTTATTATTTCCTCATAAAAAATATAGAGAGAGTATCAGATTATACATTACCATAAAATAAAAAATATAAAATGCAGTAATATAATTATTGTAATTAAAGTAATATACAATGTGTTCTTATAGGTAGAAAATTATCATTAAACTTATTTTTTTTATTTAAAAAAGTTTTTTTTTACTTAATATATACTCCTAAGTATATTATTTTTCTTAAAGAAAAATAGAAGTAATGTTTTTTCCATTCTAGTCGTGCATCTATACAATCTATCATTGTCTGAGACAGAAATTCGAAAATTTTATCTTTTTTTCAAATCCCAGATAAAACATAAAATTAACATGGAACATGAAATCCACTGCAGGGTGCATGGAGAATAATGATTTCACACTAATGATCTTTTTTTTTTTATAATGGAATGCCTAAAAGCATCTCAAGTTTTAAGGATATTTTGATCTGAAGTCTCAAATTTTATTGAAACAACATGAGAAGAAACGACCAATAATATTCTAACAAATCATTGTAAATCAGTAGTCACATTTGGCATCAATTTTCTAGCTATTACAATTCTATATCCTCGGAAGAGTCTAATTTTCAAAAGATGAATATAAAATTTTATTTCGATTAATCCCTTAAATCTCTCGCTTTTACTTAAGACAGCAAATAAATAGCGTAACTGCATTCCAAGGCCGAGTAATATTCGTGTAAGCTCAACCTCTCGGATCACGCTCGTCGCATCGTGATGTGCGTAAAACCGAAAGACGCGCTTTAAAATCTTCACCGAGACAAGATGCACGGCGACCTTCGCCGAGAACAAGGTATGACGTCCCGCTCGTAAAATGTCGAAGTGTGTTTCGAACATCGGAGGAACCGTGCGGACGTTCCTTTCGTTTCTCTCGGTATGCAAAGGAGCGAAGTAACATTTCAAGCTTTGCTTTTCGTGCCAGTCGTGTGTTTTATGCATCGAGCGTTTTCGTGCCTCGGAAACGTACAACCGAGATGCATATTCTTCACAATATCGACGAAAATAGTCGTTTTAGAATTTCGAATAAGTTGAGAATTGTATATGATGAAGCAAAATGAGCTCAAACTAGAGCTGTCATCCTCTTGGGATTTTAATTTAGACGAAAAAAAAAGCTCGAAACTCCTGCGGATAATGTTTCTTTCATTAAGGTATACAAAAAAGAAGATAACGTTTCGAAACTTTCACGTCATTCTTTAAATGTCATTTTCATACTCGACATATACACTGAGGAAAAAATTATCTTGAAATAAAAAAATATTAGTTTCCTCAAGAAAGCTATTTATTCGGTGGGTACTAATCACGTATTTATTTGTATTCAAAACGTTCTGTTTGCTTAAATTAAGTATTTATTTACATATGTTTAAAAAAATATATATCCTTAAAAAAATATAATTTCTAATCAAATATTTTTATTTTAATTTTACAAAATATTTATTAAAATGCATTTTTTATTCCCAAAAAATTTAAATTTTTTAATTTTAAAAAATAATATATTTAATTTAATAAATTATAGTATATATTTTACGAAAATAGTATTTAAATATAAAAAATATATAAATGAAAATAATGTACTTAATATAACATGCATATTTAATTAAAATTAAATACTTTTGCTTAAATGAAATAAACAATTCCTTGCATTTAAAGCAAAAGTTTCAAGAAAACAAATTTATTTGATTTAAAAAAATTTTTCCCTCAGTGTATCCAAGACGCGCAAATTCAAGCAAGCTTTAGAAAAGCTTTGTAAATTGTAGGGTAATTTGTAGCAAAAAGGGTTTAAACTTTTCCTCAAATTTTAAGCCAAGCGAGGGAGAGGATTTCCTTTGAGAGAAGAATCATTCTATTATCAAGAAAAGCGATTACTCAATTTATTTTTTTTTTTAAGTAATAGTTTTCTTCAATAAAGAATATATTCTTGATAATAGTCTTAAATTATACTCATCACAAGTGTTAGAAAATCATTATCATTATCATGTACTCAAAAGAAGAAATTATTTGCTCTTTAAGAATATTGTAAAGTTGTATCAAAGAAAAATCAAACTTACTTTACACCAACTCATGTAGTAAGCAAACCAAATTTTTGTTTTAATTTAATATTCTTGACTAAAATACTATACTTACTAAAATTCAGAATATATTCAATTAAATTTAATGCTTGTGGTGAATTTAATAATATATTTGCGGATATACAAACTTATGATATACTTAAAATAAATAATATTTACTTGAATATATAATGGTATATATTTTTCTCTGTGTAAAAGAAGAAATTTTGGAGCGCGTTTAGATATATTTTGAAAATTTTTTTTGTCGCACGTTTATAAAATTGTATTTTATACAATAATGCGATGCTTAGATTTATCTTATAATTTTACATTAATATTTCAGTATTGTCTATCGTCTAGAAATGTGTTGTAGAAATTTTTTAGAATGAAATATATTCCTGATTACAATATTTATTCTGCAATTATTACTCGCGCGCTTGCTTTTAAGTTTATAAATATATATAAATGTTTATAAATTGTTTATACAAGGTGTTTCTTAATAAGTGCGAAAAATTTCAGAAGATAATTCTTTGTCGAAAATTAAAAAT